TCCATCCTTGTTTTAGGACTGCCTCACTCACTGTTATCATCCACTAAGACTTGGAGGTCACGAAAAAACTGTGACGGCGACCTATCACCCAGTGTTTCTCCTTGGAAAAGCCTTTGGATCCTATGACTGTCTGATAATGATAAACGGCTCATTATCTCTCGTCTCAAGATGGTGTATGGTTGTAGTGATGGAGAACTTAAAATCAAGTCACGGACTTCTTTGGCAACCGAAGGAGGAACGATAGAACACAAGTCTATATAACGAATTCCTTCAGCTTTACCATTGTGTCTCGTGAAATAATGCTCTAGTTGAGCAGACCACAACTCAGGATCACTACGATCAAATTCTGGAAGTCGGGATTTCGTAACCATAACAGTGTCTATCTCCACTGGTGACAAATCCTCCAGGTTTTTGGCTTGTATGGAGTCTGACATGAGGTATGTGACCAATATAGTAATGGAATTAGTATGGAAAATGGTTACTAAAACACGAATAGCTAAAGATAAAAAGGAACTATGTATATACCCAACTTAGTTTACAGATAATCAGAAGGTCTACTTTTACAAATAAGTCAAAAAAGTAATACTAATAACAAAAATGAGGTTAAATTTGTGTTCAATAGTGCTCACCAGTTTCGTGCCTCTAATTGACCCTCGTGCTATTGATAGGAACCAAACGAGCAGTGAAGGCTGCTATTAAGGACATCTTGATTTCCTAAACATGACAGTCAGCTTAGCAACCAGTCAGAATGGAGCTGGAATTATTGTGCCTGCCATCTTTGTATGCAGTGGCGGTCGGAACTCCACGTTCTTTGTTTTTTCAGCTATTTTTTATGTCGCTACATTATTTAATATTTCAGTGAACTAAAATGCCGCAGTTACTGTAATGTTCTAAATGTTGGCGTAAAATTTATTTCCATTCAACATTCTTTCCTAGGTTTTTGCTGCTACTCAAGTCAGTGTATTTCTTCAAACAAGCTGGCTAGTCTTAAGTTATAAAATGCCAATCTGTTCTGTGTTGAGTAATTTTTTTCAGATATCGAGGGCCGAAGTTAGTTTTCCTGATTAAAATAAGTGTTGCTACTTCCTTTATTTAGATCTTCGAACAGTGGAGCGTGGGATCATTTTTTCAGATAAACAAAGCCTCTCAACATTCAATATAAGATATTAGGAAAAATAACGCCGAAAGGAAATGAAGAAGTGAATGAATACTTGAAATATAATGTTTTGACATATATTTAGTCGTTCGAGGTGAACTCTTAACCAACCAACCTAAGTTGATACACGGATTCCTGATGTCGTAAGCTCCTGTTTGTTATTTAGACAGAAAGCTCGAAGCCAATACTTATTACACAACACCAATAAAATGGAGCAAAACCAGTCGACTGAAACTTGATTTCAGTTTACCATATAAAAAATATGTACTACACTTAATAAAAGAAGAGTAGGAGAAAAACAAATAAAACGAGCGGTTTGTGCATCTCTGTTAGTTTGTTTCCAGAGCAAACAAAATAAATATTGCCGAGCCACAAATGAGTCGGTTTTTTTAATTAAACCTGATTATTTCGAACCAGATATCCGTAAGACATTTTACCCAACCAGTCATGATGCATCAGACCTCAATCTAACATGAATATTCACCACTTGGAGTTGACCCCTACAAATTTCCCGCTCTCCCAATCGGCAATGTATTTTATAGCTACTAGAAAACAGGGCTTTGATACACTATTAACCTTGTCAAAAACTACCGACAACTTCGAACCCCAGTTGAGTGTGTGTCGAAAACCTAGAGTACAAATTTCAAACAAAATATACTTAATGAAGAATAGGAGTGATCAGTTTCAAAATGCCAAATAACGGCGATAATTAAGTTGGGAATCTTACTATCGTAAGATTTGGTAGATATAACTGGCCTTAACGTCATGAGTTTGGTAGTTAATAGGTAAACATTGATAGTTCACGATATGATGCTGATCCAATATAAGAAAACATATCGCAACTATTGAAAACATCAATGAAAGTTAATTCTCAGTACGAAAATCATTGATATAATCTTATAGTTGAGCGAGTATCACATTACCAGGCAGGAGGTTGGTTCGTTGTAACATGGAAACAGTAAAGTGATAACTAGGGTACTAAGAGATTATTGTTTCAAGACTAAATAATTGGTTTACTTGATTGATAATTTGTAAAAAAACGCAGTCAAAGCAATTGAAGGAGAACAGAGATTATAATAAAGGAGATAGGAAGTAGCTGCTGGTTATGAGCTAATGATAGCCGTGGGAATTTATCAGATATGCGCCAGATATAGCTAGTCCAAGAGGGGGTGGCAATCCACAGGCCAGTACATGTTTGCCAAGGCTTCTCTAAAAAGTATCCGATTTAAGTGGCTTGTACTGGTCAAATGATTGGACCTATCGACTAGAGTTATCCGACCTACCAGTCAAGGTCACTGGGCATTGGTGTACTAAAAGAACATTTTAGTCATATCCGCAAGCTACGATGAACTCTGCTTCATTCATACAAATTATCAATTAAGTAAATTAATTATTTAGTCTTGAAACAATAATCTCTTAGTACCCTAGTTATCACTTTTCTGTTTCCATATTACAACGAACCAACCTCCTGCCTAGTAATGTGATATCTCACAGTATTCAGAATCCCTACTATCTTGAGACAAGCCTACTCACACTACCATAAGATATACAAATCCATAAATAACTATCACCAGGATAAGTCTAGTCGAATATCGAACCAACTGCCTACTGGACACTACCATATACCTGGAACGATACCAAAACAACAAGAAGCGAGAGCAAAGAAAACAATTATTCTATACAAGCTCGTGCTAAGATATTGGATACTGTACATATTTGAATTGGTGCCTCGATTTCGAGCTGTTGGCGTTCTTTCAAAAGGCGAGTTTGTTGCTTGTTTTCCGGTCAGGTGTTTAGTACGACGTATTCGATTTCTTATCGGCCTGCTCTCAGTGATGTAATAATTATTTCTTGTGTCCCTTATACGATTCTAGGGCAGCTTTGTTGTGGCAAACTAGTACGCTCTTACATATTGACTTAACCAGCCTTTAAGATGTTGGCACTAAAAATTAACTTTCATTGATGTTTTCAATAGTTGCGATATGTTTTCTTATATTGGATCAGCATCATATCGTGAACTATCAATGTTTACCTATTAACTACCAAACTCATGACGTTAAGGCCAGTTATATCTACCAAATCTTACGATAGTAAGATTCCCAACTTAATTATCGCCGTTATTTGGCATTTTGAAACTGATCACTCCTATTCTTCATTAAGTATATTTTGTTTGAAATTTGTACTCTAGGTTTTCGACACACACTCAACTGGGGTTCGAAGTTGTCGGTAGTTTTTGACAAGGTTAATAGTGTATCAAAGCCCTGTTTTCTAGTAGCTATAAAATACATTGCCGATTGGGAGAGCGGGAAATTTGTAGGGGTCAACTCCAAGTGGTGAATATTCATGTTAGATTGAGGTCTGATGCATCATGACTGGTTGGGTAAAATGTCTTACGGATATCTGGTTCGAAATAATCAGGTTTAATTAAAAAAACCGACTCATTTGTGGCTCGGCAATATTTATTTTGTTTGCTCTGGAAACAAACTAACAGAGATGCACAAACCGCTCGTTTTATTTGTTTTTCTCCTACTCTTCTTTTATTAAGTGTAGTACATATTTTTTATATGGTAAACTGAAATCAAGTTTCAGTCGACTGGTTTTGCTCCATTTTATTGGTGTTGTGTAATAAGTATTGGCTTCGAGCTTTCTGTCTAAATAACAAACAGGAGCTTACGACATCAGGAATTCTTATAGTTTTATGGTATTTCAAATTCTAGATGACTGAAAGTCGTTTTCCGACTGATAAAAGAATTGTTTACATCTCTCCTAAAGAGCTTTCCAGTCTGCCAACAGATGGACCGATTTATGTACTATCAACTGCAGAAAACCCAGAACTCAACCATTCAGCAAGTTGTAGTTCAACTGAACTTGGTGCATCTACCCAGGACTCATCTTCGATCACTTGTTCAACGTTTGGTTCGACTTCAACTTCATCTACCAACAGTTCAAATTATTTTAATAACACATTGGTTCCATATTCATTCCCTTATCATGTTAACATTCCATATCCTACTCCTGTGGTTTCAACAAACTTAATTCTTCCTTATGGATTCTGCCCTCCTTTTCAACTTCCACCTTTTGTCGGTTCACAACCAGTTTCATGGGTAGCACCTGCTTTCCCAAACCACACTTTATATCCCCCAAGTACCAATTTATTCCCAGAATCTGCTCAGTACATTCATCCCTACCAAAATCTCCCTACTTTCCAACCGAATGTCCCACCAAATTCATACTTTCAAACATTCAATCCGCACAAACCACCTCCGTCTTTCAGTTTACCTCAGGTAACTTCGAAGTCCAGCAACGCCGTTCTCATTCATAATTCTGCTGCAGTTGTTACTATTAATAATACCGTTACATGTGTCGCGAGTACTATGAATACCAACAATACCAAACATTCTTGTTCATACAATCGATCAAACGAAGAAAATGGGTATGCGCATCTATCTTATTTTCAATAAAAATTTTACTATGCTACTAGATATTACCAAGCAAATGACTAGTTATTTACTTGGCTTAGCTATATATGACAACCCTTTCTCCAAAACCTATTGCCTGTTTAACCTGGTGCTCTTTTGTTGACGTAAGATAAAATCATAAGTGAGATTTGTCTCTCAATATTGTAAGAAGAGGAACTGGATTGTAACTCAGTCATATATACTTCTAACTTTCGAAATATATTCCCGTCCTATTTTATTTTATGCAGTCTGGTAGTATCACTAATGACTTATTTGTCTTATTTGGACACAAATATTGATACAAAGGGGCGCCGAATACATGTGCGCTACACAAGTCACTTGGTTTGTGTGTGCTGTGATAATGCCCGGGCGCCCAGACCGAAGCAGGTGCCCCCGAATGCCCTGGTACGGCCGAGAGTGGGGAGGGTCCGCTCTCCCTCTCGAAATACTCTCACACGGCCGCGCGTATACAGCCTCTGCCAGGGAAGTCCTACTCATTGCCTTCTCGTGGCGGGGGTGTTGTTTACGAAAATGAGAGGACGAAAAGCGAACGTCCGGCGCTTTAACCGGATCACAAACCAATGGTGCACGTGGGCTCCAGTATCCTGCGGGAACAAATGGCCTATGAACCAATCGTTGGTCACCGGCTACCATGGGACTGCATCTCCTGACGATGCTCCACTGCCTTGTGGGTTAGACCTTTAGGTCAAAGGCTCGGGGATTGGCCCCCTAAGATAACCACCTGCTTCGGTTTGGGCACCCGGGCAATATCACAGCCCACACACAAATGATGAACCCTTTATGTCTATGGAAATAACTTTTCTCGCTTCGAAAAACATTCGATTGATTCAAATTATTATCACTACAACTATTGTCATCATTAATACTATTATTATTACTATTATTGTCATTATTATTATTATTTGCCACATTATTCACCCTCTTTTATACTTCTACAGTGGCTCGTCTTTGGTGGAAATTCGACTATATCTAAACGTTCTCGAGTCACTGTCCGGTTGAAAATTGTATGTTACCACCGAATACGAGAACTGAAGCAGTTTTTCTGAAACCACGTGCACCATTCAAACTGGCTGCCTTCAACGTTCGCACATTTCTGCAGGTCGGACAACAGATAGGGCTGGCTATGTCTTTGGAAAGTCTTAATATTGATGTTTGTTGTCTATCCGAGACCCGTATTCAAGACTCTGGCGAAGTACTACAAATTCGATCTCCATCTGTCGCTTCGAAAAGCTTGTTTTACGTGCGCTTATCCGGGGACCCTGTGGCATCTTCGTCTGGTCTTGCTGGCGTTGGTGTCGCACTAAGCGCTCGAGCTGAGGCAGCACTAGTCGATTGGATCCCCATTAACAGTCGGTTATGTGCTGTTAGATTAGAAAGTTCCATCAAAGTGAGAAGAAATCGGTGTGAGAAACGATGTCTTTTCGTCATCCCCACCTATAGCCCGACAGATTGCAGCCCGGATGCAATCAAGGATGAGTTTTACCACCAGTTATCTGTTCTTCTCCAGAAAGTGCGTTCGACAGATATTGTGATACTAGCCGGAGACTTGAATGCTCAGGTCGGGCGTCTAGGCACAGAAGAGAGTCGTTCAGGTGGCCGATGGGGACTCGTTGGTCGCAGGTCAGATAACGGGGACCGTCTACTGCAACTTTGCACAGACCACAACCTGTTTCTGGCTAGCACTAACTTTCGGCACAGTCATCGCCGATGTGCCACCTGGCATCCTCCCTCTGCATCTCAAGCCTGGACTCAGATTGATCACATCGCGATCAGCTACCGCTGGCGTGGTTGTGTACAAGACTGCCGCTCCTTTTGGAGTACCTATCTGGACTCTGACCATGCCTTGGTCTGTGCCAATCTTACCTTACTTTTCAGTGGACAACGAAGTGACCGCCATCAACGGATTGGTATTAGCAAGCTGGTTGCAACTTCTGTTGCAAATAAGTATCGAACCGAGCTAGCCTCTAGGCTAGCTACCACTCCACCGAAAAGTATGGATGAGTATTGGTTGCAATTGCATGACGCCATGAAAATGGCGGGTACAGTCAGTTGTGGGTTTGCGAAACGTCCCGCTTTTAAGCACTGGGTTTCTTCTGGTTCCTTACAACTCATCGAAGCCCATCGGTCTACTCCGGGTGACCGTGAGTTTGACCATAAACGAAGGATTTTACGTAAGGAAATTGGGCAAAGCTTGCGTAAGGACCGAGAAGCCTGGTGGTCGAATCGTGCTAATGAGCTGGAAGCAGAAGCTGCATCTGGTAATTACCGGAAGCTCTTCCAACTCATCTGAGCCACTGGCAGCAAGAAGTCTGGTGTGAGTGAAACAATCTGCGAGGATGATGGGATGCCAATCACTAACATCCATCGACGTCTTGGACGATGGGCAGAATTTTTCGAAGGGCAGTTCAACTGGCCTGCTGCTCCGGTAACATCGGTCAGACTGTCCTGCCCTCCATGGCCGGTGGCGACTGATCCACCAAGTGAGGCGGAAGTCCACAAGGAACTCCAACTCTTGAAGCGCTACAAATCACATGGCCCAGATGACTTACGTCCGGCTCTTTTTAAAGATGGTGGCGACTTTTTGATTAAGGAATTGACGACGTTTACAAAGGTTTGGGAGCTAGAGAGTGTACCAACGTCATGGAATGAGTCGATAGTTGTCCCTATCTTTAAAAAGGGTTCACGTCGTTCCTGTAACAACTATCGGGGGATAAGTCTACTTCCGATTGCGTCCAAGATATTGGCTTCCGTCATGCTTCGTAGGTTGTTCAAAACCCGAGAAAGATTGACTCGCGAGGAGCAGGCTGGGTTTCGTTCTGGTCGAGGATGTATTGATCATATCTTCAATCTCCGCCAAATGTTAGAACACCGCCATACTCATCAAAGGCCAACAATCGTAGTGTTTCTTGACATCAGGGCTGCCTTCGATTTGTTGGACAGGACTGTTCTCTGGGATCGTCTATTGAAGAAGGGTGTGCCTGAGAAGTTTATTAACATCCTAAAAGCCCTATATAAAAACACCTCAGGCAGAGTGAGGGCATACAACCACCTCTCTCCATTGTTCCATTCGAGCAGTGGGGTTAGACAGGGTTGCCCAATCTCACCATTCCTCTTCAACTTTGCCATCGATGACATTCTGGGAACAGCTCTGATGGATGTAAGTGATGGTGCTGTGGATCTGTTGCCTGGAGAAAGACTTCTCGACCTTGAGTATGCGGGCGATATTGTCTTACTGTGTGATAATGCCCAAGGCATGCAATCCCCACTTAATCAGTTGGCAATCAGTGTCCGTAGGTATGGTATGTGCTTTGCACCTTCTAAGTGCAAAGTACTCCTACAAGACTGGCAGAATTCCAATCCTGTACTCACCCTGGATGGTGAGCAGATAGACGTAATCGAGAAGTCCGTGTATCTGGGTAGCTGCATAAGTGCTGGTGGGGGTGTGAGTGATGAGATTAATGCACGAATAGTGAAAGCCAGAGCGGCTTATGCCAATCTGGGCCACTTTCGGCGCCTTCGTGATGTTAGTCTGGCTGTAAAAGGTCGGATCTACAACGCGTCGGTGAGAGCAGTTTTGCTCTATGCTTGTGAAACCTGGTCTCTCCGAGTTGAGGACGTTAGACGACTCTCTGTGTTCGATCATCGCTGTCTCCGAAGGATTGCTGACATTCAGTGGCAACACCATGTCAGTAATGCAGAGGTCCGGCATCGTGTGTTCGATCACAGAGACGATAATGCAATTGGTGTCACCATCTTGAAACACCGACTTCGGTGGCTTGGATATGTTCTACGAATGTCGTCCCAGAGAATCCCACGTCGTGTATTATTTGCCGACTCTGGGACTGGTTGGAAGAAGCGGAGAGGTGGTCAGTGTATGACATGGTGTCGTGGTATGAAAGAAAGCTGCAGAGGGCTGGCTCGTGTTGGTCCTTCACGACTCCCTGGTTGGGGTCTGAGAGATGGTGAAACACAGTGGCTAGAGACGTATCAGATATGGCTCAGAATAGAAGCCAGTGGTGATCCTGCTGTAACCTTCTTTTACTTTCTTCATAAAAAGTGGTTGTGTCTCCCTTACCTGAAAGATTTCTTCCGATTATACCTTTCCGTTCCCTCATTACTACCACACTACCTTACACCAATCTCTTCGTTATTGTTCCCTTTTTCTTTTGCGCTCCTTAGTTTTTTTTCTATTTCTCTTCGAATTCTCATTGTTTTGTATGGCGCATATATATTGGCGCTCTCTTGTACCAATATTCATGTGTTCAAATAAATAAATAATAAATAAATTCCCATGATGGCCGGTGACTAATGATTGGTTCTTACTCCATTTGTTCTCTTAGGATACTGGAGCCAGCCCGTGTGCACCATTGGTTTGGAATGAGGGTTTCCCAAGTCCCCTAGGTAAACCCTCCGTGTGCGTGAACCCAGTTAAAGCGCTAGACATTCGCTTTTCGTCCTCTCACTTTCGTAAATGACACCGCCACGAAAAGGCAGTAATACTTCTCTGGAAGTTGCTGTATACACGTAGCCATGTAAGAGTATTTCGAGAGGGAGAGCTAACCATACCCACCCTCGACCGTACCGGGGAATTTGGGGTCTATTAAAAGTATGGGGGTCATAATCTATTTCTCGTGGCTGTACGGGATTAATATGCTTTATTCCTTAATCTGGAAGGCAAAATGTCATGATTAGTGCTATTTGGGAATAAAACGTCTTCCAGTATATTGTAATTAGCTACTATTAAAAATTGTAGGTGTCATTACCAAGGTTTGATTTGATAATTTCGAATAAATTGAGCATTGGGTTGATTGTTACAAATATATTATTTTTACTATTAAAAATTATTCATTTTTATTTTGTCAAAATAAAATCAAAAACATAATAATATTTCATTCTCACGCTCGCATTTTGAGAGTTTTGTAAGTTGTTCAACTACTTTTTGAAATACCAGTTAAAAAGTTACTTGACTTTTTTCTTAAATTTTTCTTTGCCTTCTACATTCTTGTCTTTCAACAGATTTTCAGAACCGAATAACTCTAAAAGTGAATCAACGTCATCAAAACAATCGCATCCTCTACGATATACCAAACTGATCTACGCTTCGGAACTTGATTACTTTGCTTTTGACAGTAGTGTAAGTAATTTTTTTTATTCCTTAGTAAGACAGTAAATTGTCAAGTAGCATGCATTTTTCATGCTCATTTTCGTGGTAATACATACTGTTGTTTTATAAATTAGTCACTAAAAGATGAGCAATGCCGTTTTTAAATTCTTTGTGTCGTACGAATTTCAATAAACAAATAACTCAATATGTTTACTTGAATGTGTAGCGTAATAGTGCAATGTTCTGAAGTATACGCTGTATATTTAAAGGTAACCTGTATAGTCTCAAATCTAGTTCTCGTGCTTCCTTTTGTCATGTACCTATATACATATGATGCCCCTTTATACCAGTGTTTGTGTTCAAATAAATAAAAAATAGTCTGTCCTGATGGAAATCACGTTCTTTCCAATTTTCAAACACATTTTGTTAAGAGAAATTATTATTTAGCTATTGATGTTTATCATCATTTCTACAGTATAAAATTGCATGATGTATATCACATAACTAAAGGAAAATCAAAAGGTTATAACCTGAATAACTCAACTTTTTATCTGTAACTGTGTTGTCTATTAGATGATAGGTAGATTCCCTGTAGCAGAATGTATTGGATACTGTTTCGTCTGAAGTTTGTGTTCATTTACTGTGTAATTCAACTTCACTTCAAACAAGTTTATTCATTCACCTCTAAGCTCAATAGTAACCCTCCATCTAAGACGCTGGGACTGACTAATTGAGAAATATGAGTATCACGTTCAAAACACGATTTTTCGAGACGTTTTATAATACATCGTAATGAGGATCTGTTTCATTGGCTTACGCTGAGTATAATTATGTCCTAAGTTTTCTATCTCGTCTGAGACGAAACGATACTTTGTATAATAGAGCATCAAGATAGACATCATTTAAAGTTAATTGATCATATCGGAAAGAAAGAGAAGAGGAAAGCATATGATATAATAAGCAAGAATAAAAAGTGTTAAAGCAGGCTGTTCAAATTAGTGTACAACGAAGATAGATTATGCTCATTTACAAGATGCATCATACTATTCTAAATCAATAAAAAGTAAATTGACTCATTCACTGGATACTTGAGTATGAATCACATTCCAAGTTTTAGGGTTAATGTTACTACCCGGTTGCCGAAATCGAAGTGGAACGACGCCCGAACCTGGGACATAGTGGCTACAAATTGAACACCTTCACCACTAAGTCATCGCCTCAAGTCATACGATTTATAAGAAATCTAGTGAAAAATTGGCAAAAGATAGGTATTGGTTTTTGTTTTTAGTTATGTTTGATAAAATCTGAAGCCAGTGGAGTCGTAATGAGGTAACAGTCACCAACACAACTATCCTTTATTCCATAGAACCATATTACAGACTTTCTATTTCCGCTCTTTTTTACATATTTCCAGCATTATAAATTAATGTGCGGTATAAAAGACACTGAGATGACATACGTAGGACACTCTTACATTACTAAAGTTAATGTTTCTTATTTAGTCATCATTTTCACTATGTCGAACCTCAATATTACGTCCACGGTGTTGTTACCGAACAGAAGGATTATTCTTCATAGATAACTGTGATCGCATTCATATGGTTTTCTAGCATTCTTAACTTAAAGGCCTCGGTTTTGCATGTATGTATCAGTACTGCCTTTACAATAGTGTTGAGCACCCGATCTTTTATTGGTCAAACTAATATCAAAAATGTGTAGAAGATGGCCTAGAGTGACATAAACGACTTTTGGTTTGTAATTTACTTGGAATAATCTTATCTATCACGCCTCCACCAACAATCACACAACAACTTAAATCAAGTCAGTCAGTCAGCTACAACGTAGGACCAAGTGCATATATGCATCGGTCCAAGTTGCCATACCTCATTAACACAACAAGATGAACACCGGATTCATAGCAGTGGTTATGTCAAAGGTGGTAATATATAAGAGAAAGATTGCATATAGAGATATAGTACAAGAAGAAAAAATTGGTTCGTAGAAAGAAAGGTATGGAGCGATTTTAATCTCTTAGTTTAAGGGAAGACAGGGAGTGTATACACCGACGCCATTGTGATCGATTCTGAGCCATGTCACCAAGAGTCTCCAACCATTCGTTACGATAGTCACGCGGACCCCAACCAAGTAGTCTGCATCTACCAACATGGCTCAGATTAGAAGTTAGTGACTTCAAGCACTGATGCCACGTTTTGGTTTGGCCGCCCCTAACTTTCTTCCAGCCATCTCCAACACCGGTTAGCATTGCACGTCGTGGTAATCGTTGTTCAGGCGTACGTAACACGTGGCCCAACCATCTCAGTCAATGAATATTCACAACCTCATCAGCTGATTTACCATCATTCCCTAATACCCTGCGTCTAACCTCACTATTACTTACCAGGTGATCCCAGCAGATGTGAGCAATATTTCTAAGGCATCTGTGGTCAAATACTAGTAGCTTACGAGTGTCTTCTACTCTTAATGGCCGTGTTTCTCTGCCGTAATTTAAAACAGAACGGACTGCCGCGCAATATACTCGTCCTTTTATTGATAGATGGATATCTCGCCTTCGCCATAGGTGACGTAAGTTGGCAAAAGCCAAGCGAGCTTTTCGAATCCGTGCTGAGATTTCGTCAGACACCAATCCATTAGGGCTGATCAGACTTCCAAGATAAGTGAAGTTGTCAACGCGTTCGACTACTTCACTCTCTATCCTTAGTTCAGGTGTTGACGCAGACCAGTCCTGAAGCAACAACTTGCATTTAGATGGAAAGAAGTGCATTCCAAACATTCTGGCATTGTTGCTTAGTGCTACCAAAAGACTGCATTTTATCAGCGTCTTCACCAAACAGGACTATGTCATCTGCGTATTCTAAGCCGATAAGTGGATTTCCTGGATGGAGATCAATACCCGAGAATTCAGTCGACGAGAATGTTATTTCCATCAGTAGGTCTATGATGAAGTTAAACAAAAATGGAGAGAGTGGACAGCCTTGACGGACACCACTTGAGGTTGCAAAAGCAGATGACAGTTCGCCATAAGCTGTAACTCGACTAGTAGTGTTGGAGTAAAGAGCCTTCACAAGGTTTATGCACTTCTGAGGTACTCCTTTCACTGACAGACACTGTCACAGAATCTCGCAGTCTACGGAGTCAAATGCTGCTTTTAAGTCAAGAAAGACCACCATTGTCGGACGCCGATAAGTATGCCTTTGTTCTAGAACTTGACGAATGGTGAATATGTGGTCGACGCAGCCACGACCAGGTCTGAAGCCAGCTTGATTCTCTCGTGTTTGCAGTTCACGAGTCTTAGTTAAGCGTCTGATAGTTATCGAGGCTAGTATTTTAGATATTATATTAGTTAAACTAATCCCTCTATGGTTGTCACAGGATGATTTTAACCCTACCTTATATATTGTGACGATAAGTGATTGTGACCAGTCAGATGGAATAACGTCTAACTCCCAGATCTTAGCCAAAATATTAGTCAACCTAATCGCTAAAATTGGACCACCATCCTTAAAGACCTCTGGAACCAATCCATCTGGACCAGCTGCCCTTCCTCGTTTCAGACTAACTGTAGTCTTTTGAACTTCTGCTAGAGTTGGGGGACCTACTTCAATGTTTCATTCACACTGTCTGGGAATGGAGGGTAGTTGTAGAGTAGCTGGAGGCTAGCTGAACTGTTCTAAACGTCTGGACTGGGAGCAGATGAGTGTCGTCTTTTTTCCGAAATAGTCTGACTTACACTTGACTTATTAATTCCAGTTTTTTTATTAGTCTGTAGAGCTATCTTGTGTTCCCTATAGCCTCCGCCTTTTCCGTATCTTTTGCTTTCGTTGCCCACCACTGCTCACAGTCGTTCCTTAGACTTTTGATTAACCGAGATCTGATCTGTTGACGCTCTTCATCGTGTTCAAAACCTGATGGGATGAGTTTACGAGAATCCATCAGTGCAATAGAACTTGAGGAAATCCATTGGTTCTTTGTAACCCTGTGGTTTAAATCACTGATAGATGTCACTGCTGTTTCCACAGCTACTTGTATATATCCAAGCAATATCTGGGTCAGCCTCGTTTTCAGAACTAAGTGTGACCCCTACCTACTTTTGGTTTTCTCGTTACTCATTTCAGTTCTAATAGGTCTTCTGAGTATGCTTTTCTGCGTCCAGTGAGGCACAAGCAGATGCGTGCCCGTATTAGAGCATGGTCGGAGTTCAAGCAGGTACTCCAGAATGAGCGACAATCTTCTATCGACCCTCTTCAACGATGACTGATGGCAATATGGTCTATCGTTGGTTTGGTTTAGGGGGTCGCCATGTTAGACGATGTCTCTCCTTATGCTCAAAATTTGCGTCTCAGTCAGTCAGTTAGTAACAACGTAGAACTTCGTACGTACGTACATCAGTTCGAGTTGCCATACCACATTAGCACAGAGATGCAGTGGTCGATTCAAATCCCGTAGTGGTAGAGGTAGCAAGAGTATAAGCAGTAATCGGGACGATTAGGGTTTGGAGATGTTATTTAACGAGTATAATCCAGTGAAATAAATTTGGAAAGTGGAAAAAAGGGACATGAAGAATTCAGAAGATTAGAATTCGGGAGAACATAGAGAGTGGATGCACCTGTGCCATTGCAAACGATTTTGAGCCATGTCATTCAGGGTCTCTAACCATCGGCTGCTATCATCTCGCGGTCCCCAACCAGATAGTCTACACCTACCAACATGACTCAGTCCACTTGTCAGTGACTTCATTAATTTGTGCCACGTTTTGATCTGTCCGCCCCTAGCTTTCTTCGAACCTACTCCTATACCACTGAATATAGCACGTCGAGGCAGTCGGCAGTTGGGCATACGTAACACGTGTCCCAGCCATCTCAACTGATGAAGTTTCACTACTTCATCAATTGATTTGCCATCCTTACCTAGTACCCGTTTCCTAACAGCTGTGTTACTTACTCGATGGTCCCATGATATACGAGCAATGTTTCGAAGACACGTATGATCGAATACTAGTAACCTACGAATATCCTCTACTCTTACCGGTCATGTTTCACTGCCATAAAGTAGGACGGGACGAACTGCTGCGCAGTAAACACGTCCTTTGATTGATAGACGGATATCTCGCCTACGCCATAAATGACGCAAGTTGGCGAAAGCTAGTCGAGCCTTCTATATCCGTGCTGAGATTTCGTCACACACCAGACTACAAGGCCTGATGAGACTTCCAAGATAAGTGAAGCGGTCGACACACTCAACTACTTCACTCCCTATCACTAGTTCGGGTGTCGATGTAACCCAATCCTGAAGCAACGTTTTGCATTTCGAGGGAGAGAATCGCATCCCGAACATGCTTGCATTGTTGCTTAGAGTGGTCAGAAGACTCTGCATTTTGTCAGCGTCTTCACCAAATAAAACTATGTCATCAGCATATTCTAAGTCAACAAGTGAACCTCCCGGTAGAAGTTCAACCCCTGGAAATTTAGATGAGGAGAGCGTTATCTCTAAAAGTACGTCAATGACAAAGTTGAACAAGAATGGGGAGAGTGGACAGCCCTGACGAACACCACTTGAGGTAATCAATTCTGATGACAGTTCGCCATAAGCTCTCACTCTACCAGTTGTGTTCGAGTAGAGAGCCTTTATAAGGTTAATGTACTTCTTTGTGTGTCTGCTAAAAATAAACGATTGTCTGAGCACAGTTGTAGCAGACGATCACCATTATCTGTTCGTTGTGCCGAAATACTAAAATACCCACCTAAATGCCTTTCTGTTTGGTTTAAACTACCTATCTGGGCATTAAAGTCACCTGCTACGAGCACTATGTCTGAACGTTTAGCTTTCTGAAAAAGTTCAGATAGCTTTCTGTAAAATTCATCTTTCACTTCATCTGAGCTGCTTAAATACATAAACATATTGAGTATTTCCAGCTCCTTACTGCGATAGAACTAGTATATATGGCGGCTCTTCTTAGCCTTGTAAAATCTCTTGACAGTCTAACAGTACAAAATAGGTGTGGTGCTTATTTTCATACAATGATTCAAATGTTCCACATACGAGACGATTTTTATATTATCTCTGACTATTCTACTGAAAAATAAGTCTGTTATCCGATAGCATGTGTATTAGATTATTTTTTCCAGATATTTTACGTTTGAAGCAAAAGGAACCATAAGTGTCGACAATAATACGTTCAGGCATAAAATGATATGTTTATAATTTAAAACGAAATAAATGGATCTATTATAGGGCGGGATATTATGGTTCGATTGAAGGATTTTCGCTTATCAAAATCGATGAGTAGAGTGGTGTCCGAGATTTGGTATGTCACGATACGGTGTTTCTGAGTTATGGTTACTCACACGACTTAATTATTGGTGTAAGCCTCCAGAAGGATTTTAGATAAAAATCAAGACCACTTACCAGAAGTATAGGTTTCCTTTGTGTAGCAAAGTGATATGCTTATGTAAAAAATATTAACACAAAAAAACGACATGGTAAAATGTTATAGGCGATTGAATAAACTCAGCTGGTAGGTCACTTACTCTCTAATCAATTAAGTCCTGATTGTTTGACCTAATTCTAAACCATCATATCGAGATCTGTCTGGTCTAATATGATGACCAATTAATCTCTTATCAACACTTTCAATAACTAATTCTTCATTACGTTCAATACCTCAACTAGAAAAAGAATTCCATCAGTTAATAAAAAAAGCCCGTGCGAGTAACATCATGAACGTTCATACTCACATATATACATTAGGGGAATATCTCGTATTGTTGTGTATATTAATAACATCCATGTTATCTACGCTTTCAAGTACGGATTTATTTACTCGACTTTGAGCCACCGTTTGTGTTAGGGTTATTGGTACTGTTATTGCTACTACTAACACTACTAATACTGTAGTGAAGGAGGACACAGGTGAGGACAACGGAATGTATTTTACACAAAATTACAGGGCATGCCAATAAAATCTGAGAACTATATATCAAATCGTTAATTTGCAAAATGTCCACCAGTTGTCTCAAAATGCCTCAGACTTCATTGTTCTTACATTTTCATACAAATTGCATTCTATTCCCGCTTTTGCTTTCTTGATCTTCCCTCATCTTCTGCTGCCAGACATTACATTCCTGACTCACATAACATACTACTTATATCAACATAAATAGCACGCACCACAATACTAGTACTAACGCTAATACTACTACTACATATCTGTACGAATTTGAGTAGTTGTTGTGGGGTGCGGACCTGCTACTTGTTAGTTAAAAATTAAGTGTTTTAATCATCAAATCACTGATTTACACGTCAGATAAATAATTTGAGTGTGTAAAAAAACAATGTCATTTAAATAAATTAACCAATTAACCTTTCCAAATCAGTTCGTTAATATATAAAGAAATATGCTATACCCACTGACTACCGAACACTTATTATGCTTGGACTATTGCTTTCTTTTATTTTCAAATAGACTGGATCGTATGTAGCTACACGTCAACTTATTGATTTGGAAGATCGGTTTGAAAATGAGGTGATCGCTCGACGTCATCGCGCTACTTTAAATGATCCAGTAAGACAGCCTCCTGAACGTCCTGCATTGTCGGATACTGGTGAGTAGTAGTAAACTCTACTCTTTTGTTTATGGCATAGCTCCAGTTAAACAGAACAAAGTAAATTATTTCTGAAGAAACAAATTGAGTGTGCAAGTTTTATTGGGTCCCACGTAATCGATCCAAAAATAATAGAAAAGCAGTACTATGATCTATCTCCCTAGTCCGATTATCGATTAGTTCATCTATAATGCCAGTAGAACCGGTGAACGTCTTATTTTTTGATTAACAGCGATCAACAAACAAAAGCCAAAATCTTAACGTTTATTGTTCCTCAAGTTGTGTCCAACCTGGTGTCCAATTAGAAGAGGAAGACAGAAGGCAAATCATTTTGCCATTGTACTTAATCAAATTATAATTCAAAACTCAAACAACATACCTGAAATCTCTAACTATATAGCAACACGATTAGCAAATTACGATTCGTAAATAACTTGGTCATAAGTGATACATGACTAGAGTAATAGGGAAATAACCAAGTAATGGTAAATCTGGAATAGTAAGACATGGCAAAGATTTATAAATCAAACGAAAGCTTAGAACCAGGGAAATTAAAGAAAATGCAGCAGTCTAAACATTCGACAATCATACAATAAAAATATAAATATTTATTCCTCGTATATTAGCCTCAAAAGTTATATTTCACTATTCATTCCATTATATCACAATTATTTTCAAGAAATAGTTTCTCGACGATAATCAGTACAATTTTGAAGTCTAAAGTAAGTTAATTTTTCTCAATAGACTAGATGGAACAGCACCGTTAGGTGCCTTAGTTAATATTAAATGGGTGGGGTTACGTAATACAGTTTTATTAAATCTAAATGTGAACGAGATTAGGCGGGAAATACAGTTAGTTTGTTGTATAATCCCACGGAATGAAATATAGCTATATATGGTTGGGATTTCCCGATCTGTTGATACTTTTCGGGTGGGATCTTAAGGGTTATGCAGTCCAGTGGCTTGTAATTCTAGCTTCTTGGAACACTATTAACAAACACTGACACAAAACATGTGTTAAGAGTTCTCTTGTGTGGTCTCTGCTAACGACCTAACAGATAAATAATTCTTAGAGTATATATTCTAAAATAATATCGTCTATTTGTCTGAGCGGCCGATTTTCAATAATTGATGCAGTGTTTCGTCCCCTTCTACTTCTGCTTGAATAGCTAGTTATCGACTTTCAAAAACCATAGGTGCTATTCGAATGAAAGTATAGAAACCTATCTTTTGTTGTACTGAATGGACATGCCGCTTTGAGTGTAACTTTACCCCCCCCATCAAATGTAGCTCATCAAAACACCTCGAATAGAGTTCTAGGGATCGTAAAACTCAGTGTCTTGAGAAGTTATAAAACAAGACTTATAAAAGTCTGGCAATCTTATTCTAGTGTATAAATCCGTGTTTGTTTGTGAATTTCAGTTGATACTATTGTTTAAAACAAAATGGGGAGTCGTAGTGTAGTGGACGCTACTCACAAGCTGCTTGTAAGTAGTGTCTTGCGGAACGTTGCCTCAAAGTTGTTGACGGAGTAAAGAGCTTCAGTACATTGAAAGCACAGCGTTAGCAGAACACTTGGAGACCAGATGATAAAATTGTTCAGATTCCAGAATACACCGAAAGATGTAAAAGGACGAGTGAAGGCTATGTATACGTATAATGTAAATGGTCTGTAACTTCTCACAATAAATATAAATTCCTTCTGCATATTACCTTCCTTTACAATAGCGATCGGTGGAAATTAATTACACAGTTACTTCATAATCTCATTGCATCAATTCTATAGTTACGTAAATTGTTATGAAGTAAACTGTGGTAAACTTGGTCAAGATAAGTTTAGATGGCATAGTATCTATTTCATCTGGTCAGTTGGTTAATTATACACATCTATTTATTATCTATTTATTTATTAACAGAGCATCGACGTAATTCCCGTGCTTCACATCTTCATCGTTCGAAAAAGTCGACCCACAAATGTGATACAGTGAATTCAATGTTTGACAATAATTCCGATAATGATGATGACTACTTGGCGGCTATCGGTGATAACGCAGAAACTTCAAAAGATGCTTGTTTATCGACTGAATCTAGAAATAAGGTATTCTTAATTGATTGTTATAATACTTATTGATATTTTTTATCATTGCTGATGTTATTTTGTAAATAATAATATATACATTTGATGCTCGCATCCTATTCGTCAGCAATGGTTTAGACTGAAAATGATAAGGCTTAAAGATGTTTACATGCAATCGAATTATTCAAGTAAATGGATTGGTGGCATTCAATAGTTAAAGAATCCGTGTTTCATCTATTAGGTCATTAATTTAAACTATTCTTCATTTATTTCGGTTCTTATAGATGGATTATAGTATTACTGCCCTTCTCACTAACAGTACTGCTCAAAGTTTATAAGTTTATGAGTATCGACACGACATCTATGGTGCATTTTAATTGGTCGGCATCCTATGTATCACAGAACCCAACAATAAGGTTAATCATCATGGCTAGTTCTCGTCAGAGACTGTCAATATTAAACCAGGAAACATTGGATAGCAAATTTTTTGTGGTTCAAGATTGCTTCTCTGTATTTCAAATTTAGACATGATTCCAGGACACTCAGTAAGGAAAATACCTCTACACTAATGAGTGCGATTCTAATGGCTTACATTTTAAACTGCAGTCGATTTTCGATAAACCTCAATCATCATCCATTCTTATCTGTAATAAGTGTCTCATCCTCAATATGACTTATTTTGATTGATGATAAAGGCTTCATATAAAAACCGGGATCTCTCAGTTACTGGTTGTGGTGGTTTGGTTAGAACATGCATCATGTGTCCCCAGCCACTCTCAACTGTGACGCGGTGTGTTTCCTGGCGTAGTAGTAAGTTGAAATAAAATAACTCACGTACTGGTAACTTCTTTCAGTACATATCTCATCTCTTTTACAAAAACACACTTTGCTCGATTCCATGCTAATCATTGTTTTTTATATTGCTTTAAATTACAGAACTTATCCATCGATCATACAAAACATTCAAAATCATCATCATCTAACTCTCATCATCATTTACGTAAACATAAAGTCAATAATTATGAATCTATTTGTGCATCTAATAATAGTATTAATAACACGAGTAATGATAGCATTTTAAATTCTGATTATCACACTGTCAGTGGCCATTCCATAGGTCAACGTAGTATAAGACAACAACGTGAAGTCGCTTATAAAATTGAACATCCTAATCGTTTACATCCTGATATTTGGCATAATGAAGCTAACGAGTTCAATGATGGTCCAGCTTGTTCTTGTAAACCGAAATATCGTATTGGACCATTACACAATCAATACGAAGGTGAACAGGTAATGTTAATATAATTTTTTTTGTACTATACGGTTATACTAATCATAATGATATAGATCATAAATGTCTGTCATATTTTTGTTGTATTGGGAAGAGCCATATATATTTTACTGTCCATGTAATAATTGTCTTGTTTTTTTCCGAATTTACGACCAAGAATAATAGTAATCGTCCAGTAGTAAGGAATCACTAAAGGGCAAGTTCATTGGTTAGAGATTTCGACTTTCAACCACTAAATCAAAGGTTTATACCCCATCCCACCTACTTCGGTCCTGGTAACCGGATAGTATCACTAGCCGTCAATACCATTTGCATGAATCTGTACGTTCTAAATGAGTTAATTGAAAAATCAGTCGCCAAGGATGAATATTAAAGACCACAAAACCATCACTAGATCTTTGTTTCCTAATTTGTCATTTCTGACTATTTTGGCTTGATTTTTTTAACTCTTCTGTTTGATGCGATGAAATGTAGGAACCTTGACTGATTAGAGTTTTTTTCCAGATTGCACTACTTTGTTTATTGTTGATTGAATTCTAACGAAGCAGTTGCCCATGACTAAATTTTACGTCATCTTCAGACAATTTTTCCCATTTATAAATTCGAATAAGATAATAACAACGATCTCTGTAGAATAATATGAATTCATTAACTTCGTAAATTCTCGACTACTTACAACCTAGGAATAGTTGTATTGATGATCTACAAACGGTGTACATAATTTATACTATGATTTCAGAAAGAATAATGTGAATATTGTCGAAGAAAATGCATGGTAACATTTCACAGGAAAAAATAACTTTAAAAATTACGCAGCAACCATTACAAAAAAGGTTTGATTAGAGGAATAAAGCGAGTAGGTCCGGGATAAGACACACGAATGAAGAAAATAAACTTATTACTGAGACCCAAACATGAGAAGCTACTGTTGAGTCGGCTTTCTGAGAACTTCAACGGAGCCTCCAGAGGCCCAAAAGGTACCGAAGAGTCCTAGCCAATCAGAGCACGACGGAGCATTCTAGAATTCCAACGTAGCGTACTACTATTGGTCAGTAGCTTAATGTGTCGTTAACGGATTGGTCGAAATATGATGTTGGTTTAACAAACGCTAACATCTATAAATACCCATGTTTTCTGTACAAAAACGAACCTTGGAGTAAAGTGTTTCTTTCGTACTTTGCGTCTTCTTTCTGGTGTTCAGGTCGCTGTATAGTTCTAGCGTGTGGGTTATCAGAATAGCTTAGGAACGAATATAGCGTCCAAATCAGCAAGACTCAATAGCTACCCAACTAAGTGTTAGGTTAGATAGTAACACCGCTGGTTGCCTGCTCAGTGGTCTAGATGTTAAGCGTTCGAGCGGGGCTGAAGGTCCTTGGTTCGAGTCTCACGTGCGGGACCGTGGATGGGTATTTCTAAAGAATCCCACACTGGAACTAAGCGGCCTCTAATACTTCCAGGTTTCCAGTGATGATCTAGCATTAATCGGTTCATGATCTCAATGGGTGTTGGGAACTGAGGTCACTAGGGCAATGCTAAACTGACAACAGTATCCTTTCGAACTCACAAGTCCAGTTTAAGCCTTTTGACAGCAATAGTTTAGCTTAAATACAATAAATTCAAAGTTCTCACTGATTATTTTTAAAGGATTTTACAAATGATTTATTACTGAGTATTGACCAATATCATGACTGTTTGGTTCTTTTAGTCTTGATCGACTCCGCGATGATTTCGAAATATCAGTGTCGTACTCACTATCGAATAGATTAGAGGTGACTGCACTATTCAAAGTGGGTCAACTTATTAGTCTCGAATTTTACGAAATGTACTCAGTTTAGGAAGTTGAATAGTAGTATATCAGCACTAACCCTTAAATAGTTATTGATCAATGCCCAGTAAAATCACCTATAGTTTGTAAATAAATTACTTTTATTCTCCTTACATTTGACTTTGAATCCTACTGGTTTGTAGGTTCAAACTTCACTTCGATCACTTTGGTTCATCCATTTGACTAGTATTAATAGCTATCTCCCGTTCACACACGCAAAGTATGGTTGTTCTTGATTCGTCCAATTACATTATCAATTTAAATTAATCTAAGTATAAACTCTCGAAATACTATAATTACCCAGTTATTTCAGAAAAAAAACTATTTCAGAATTCAAATACGCTAACAGAAACTGATCAGTATTTATTTCTAAATATTAACAAATAAACGTATTTGTTATTACCTAATAACCTCTCGACTTAGTAGCTTAGTGGACGATGACATCGTTTAAAGTTATAGGTACTGGGTTGGAGTCCCTTCCTGAACACATACTGGAATGTGACAGGTATATCCAGCTAGTGACGAAACTCGTGTCCTAGATCCCTCTAAGAAAGCCATAATCTAAATTTACCAAAGTACTCTTAAGGAAATATCGAGGCATTTTCTTATGATGTACATATTTCCATAATAACTTTGATCAGTAATGGTATTCAGTCTTGAATATCAACAAGTAGATAATATTTAAATATAACTCTTAAATGTCTTTTTATTGTTTTGTATTTTAACAAACATAAATCAATATCATAAATTAACATTTAGTTATTTTTAATATTTATCTGTCTTTTTTCAGCCCATTCCGCTATGTATTCCAGAATCAAATAATCATGATCGTCTTTATCATTATCGTGTGATTATATCACCGACAACTAATTTTGTTCAACCAAACCCATCGAAAATTACTCATAATGAACATGATTATCTATTCGATGGTTTCTCACTGTTTATGCATTATAAATTAGATAAGGTAGATCTAATTCGTTGTGAATCTCATTTTCAATTAGTTTAATGATTAATTCATTAGTCTTTTCAAATACTATAGCACCTAATGATTGTGTTTATTGCCTCTGTTGTATATTCATTTCAAAGATCATATCCCCTATTCCTCTTGCAATATCTCCCAATATCCTGAGAATACCGTATTATAAAAACTTTCAAACACCGACTAGACAATTTCGCACAGAACTGACACTGAACACTTCTTGACTTTGATGTATGATGATCCTTCACCACCTGTGGAGTATCTAACGTCCGATGCAATCCTGTTGACTTCTGTTTTTATAGATACTCAATCAACAACACAATATTCGGTTAGTGGACTCGAACAGATCACTGGCTCAGATAACCTAAAATATTACAGTATTGTGAATTCATCAAGACTATCACTCCTTAAAGAAATTAATTTGTAGCAGGTTACAATTTAGGAATGTAGAGTATCTCATATTACATCGGAAAATCAAAGTTGATTGGATCGATTTTCCACCTAAACTATATTGCAGCTGATTTGTACTATGTCATAAGGACTACTTAAGAATTCCACCGTTTTTGATATAACAGATCAGCCAACCCAAAGCTTTCCCTACCTATAGAATAGTCGGAGTACATTTTAATGTGTACTTTAGTGAATACATAGCTGCTAGCCACGAAATACACTAATGCGTATGAAACCGTTACTCCACTGCGTTGCAGATTAGACTTCTAGGTGAAACGTTCGGGGAATGGCCTAAGAAAACCACCTCACGCAAGTCGAATGGTGGTGTGGCACACATATATTTAGCACCCCTTCATACTAATATATGTTTTAATAAGTAAAATCAACCTATAACACAAACATCTACGTATAATTATAATATTTTTCTCCCTCCATATAGTCAAACTAAGTACATGTGGATCTAAACAGTTTACGAGTTATCGTTTTTATTTGGTAGATATAATAAATTACCAAATTAAAGTAACTGATTTATTAAATACAGAGTTATATACTAAACGCTACATGAACAAAGAAGATTAAGGAATCGTTCTTAGAGAAAGTTTGATCATGATGATTATCCGAAATAGGTTTTCAATGAAATGTGCGGACCGATGATGGGGAATAAGAAACACACCAGACTTTCAACCATTATCGGGTTATTATCCAGTTCAAAACTCAGGTCATAGTTGAATTATGGTTGCGATTAGGAGTTTAGATTAGCGTTAGAATTTAGGTTTAAGATTGGTAGTTAAGATACAGAATATTGGTTAGAAGTTAGGAGTAATGGTTAAAAATAGAGTAAGAATGCTTTCTTAGTCACATGAATGAATACTTGTACAGTGGGTCCTTTTATTTTGAATGTTAAAAACCTTTTAATTGCTTTCAAACAATCATAAATTATAATTCCTGTGCTTTAACCTCTCCATGTTACCCATTTTTATGCATCATATTACCTGAGTATTGATGATTTTAAATAATATAGATACCAACTATCTATCATCAGACCTTGAATTTCATTCACAGATTCAATAGCCATTACCTGTGGTATGATTGGTTCACCAACAAAGTATATTTTAGAAATCCCCATATTGTGAATTAGAAGAACGCATATATAAGCGAACAATATTGTTTTCAATCAGGTTTTCATCAGGTTTTACTGTAATAAACAATAATATTTATGTGCATATATGAAATTATTAAACCAATCAAGGCAGTTTACGAGTCTGTAATAATAGTGGAATAAATGACATGAAATAAACATAATAAGTAGAAAGTACAAATTGATAGTGCGATGATGACAAGTGTATTAGTTGTGATCAGAATAACAACGGCTTGAATCAATGTCTCATAATTCGAAACAAGTCAATGACTTGGAAAAATATAAATGCTGAAATAACATTCATAAAAACTATAAAATTACTTAATAAGAAGTATTCAGATAATTGGACAATGAAGCTTATATTTGATTGGTATATCCATATAAATATAATCGTATATTAGAGTGAAACCTGATGAGGATTTAATTTAAAGTATATTTTTACTGTTTCTTTCAAATTATGTTCCTTTTCATTTAATTTTCAAGGATCACAAATACTATTTCAGCTCTTTTGTTAAGTCTTCTTATTAATTTATGGAAATCTAATAATCATTTTGTTGTATTCAAAGTTACCTTTGTATTGCTATATTTAAATTTTAGCCACCTCCATGTCAAGTTCTACGTTTCAATCTGTTATATGATATTTTCCCGATTGAAGAGGAATTCCCTCAGGTTAGACTTTTCTATCTGTTTCTACTACACTTGGTATTGTGTTGTTGATTGTGATGATTACTGGGTTTCACAATCATTATTAATCCCAACTGAGGAATTGTGATAAACTGGCAGGTCCCAGTCATATACAGCTTTGATTCATATCTCGGGGTCTTCTCATAAATTGACCACCTTCGCTTTTACTCCATTCCATCATAGGCAAAGTATGCCCGATGTGGGAGTCACTAGGATGACATTCATAACACATCTCCAAACCACCGAAGCCGGTATTTCAAGATGTCACCAAGTGAGTTATTGTCACTGTGTCTGAACACCGAACCTCCACTGGATATCAGCAATTCTTCGGAGACACCGATGATCGAAACATAGTCGTAGGACATCTTCAATTCGGAGAGACCAGGTTTCACAAGTATGGTACAGAATTGGTCTCACCGACGCGTTGTAGATCCAAATTCTGACATCTAGATGAATATTACGACAACTCCAAAGGTGCTCCAGATTAGAATGAGTCTATCTGCCTTTCACTGTATGTTGATTGATCTAATTACACCACCATTAAAACTTTCACAGCTACCTAGATAAATGAATTTTTTTATTACTTCTAACGGATTACCACAAAGAATGTGTAAGCATTGACTCCTACGAGTATTGCAGAAGTACTTTACATTTAAAAGATATGTAGTGTATACCGTAGCTTATCCTTCAATTGTTTAAATATTTTTATTTTTATTTTTCAGTATTTTACTGTTCGTTCATTAGATCTACTCACACAATATGTATTCATTGAATTACTGGAGTTGTTAGATTTAAACTGGAAACCATATGGAGCAAAGGAGAGCTGTAATGTGATACATTTAATGCCAAGATTTATACGTATTTTGTCAAATACTGCTACTACTACTACCAATGATAATTTTTCGATTACAAATACTGCCACTACTACTAACAATAGTATTTCAATAGATAACAGTAAAGAACATAATATCGAGTCAAATAAATTAATCGTTTGTATCGATGATAGTAGTGATAATAATACAGTAATTGGGGAATTACTACCCGTTCATGTAATAATGCGACACTGGTTAAAAGAGGCACTGACTCCGGTAATTAATATGATGGAATTATCTTCAATACAGCGTATGACTACAATTGAATGGTCAAATCATATCGCTAATTTACGAGGCACATTAGCTTGCTTTCCAGGCAAAGTAAGTTGGTTATTGATCGCATTTAAATCAGTCGTTGTTAAGATATGTACATCTTACGCTGATTGCTTTTATGTAGCCAATTTGTGATCATTTTTACGGAATGTGTTGGGACGGCTCCCAAAAAGCACGATGAAGCTTCTAGAGGCTCTAAAGGAGACGAAGATATTCCATCCAATCATAACCCGATAGAACCTTCTAAAATATCAACGTGTCATGCCTTTATTGGACAGTTGTATAACTTTCCTACTTGCGGATTATAATGATGTTATAGCCTATTATAAGAACTATAAATACCCCTGTTTTTGTGCACATTTTCGACTTCTCTTGCTTCTTCTGTCTCTTAATTTGTGATTATCAGGTTCTACACGTTTGAGCGCTGATATTTGTATACCGTATTCTGCCGTAATCAAGTATAGGACATAATAGAATAGATGGGTTGTGGCTATCAACGAGATTCGGAACGCACATTTCGTCTTTTTTAGGACTTGTTATCTGACTCCACCTTCATATCAATGTTGATGTTCACACTAAAACTTTTTAGGTACATCCAGCTGAAGAGTTCGAAATAGGATGAGATGCACGTCCTCAAATCCACTGCTAGATGTGATCTATCTATTCTATTCAACTACTAAATAGGATTATTGAGACCATGTCGTAGTAAAAATCAAAGTCCAAAATAAAGGAGAAACATATATTTCATTGACCTATCCTATCATTTGGATTGTATACTGTTACTGACTAGTAAATGTATTCTGATAACTTATTACTTTTCTCAACTCCCTCTCTTTGTGTGCCTTTTAATTTTAATATTGCAGAAACCATCAACTATACGCATAGATCAATTAGATCGTCAATCTGTAACAGGTCAATCAAATGAAACCATATTAATTTATCCACTCATAGTACACATGACTTATACACCAATGAAATTAAGTTTAACGCGTGAACCAAAGTATAAATCTGTACTTAAAAATTTTATGAAATTACAATATTTAATGATGAATAAGCCAAGAATTAGTACTTCTGATCGTGTACAGTTAGTACAATTAGCCAGTGAATTAGAAGAGATGGAGCATTCTGGGTAAGTTCTGTTTCGATCGTTAATGTAATGGGTTTGTGGTGATTGTTAACATTTATAGACTAAATAATCAACTGACTAACTTTGCTCAAACAAGCATTGAGAACCAAGAAGCACCGAAAAGCTGTTTTCCAACTGTTTTTTGTGGACTCACCGTACCCAGTATCCTGGTTTAAGGGCCTAACTTATTATTTTTATTCTCTTACTTTGCTGCGTAAACGGAGTGGTTAGGACTTTTCCGACAGAGGCTAAAAGCTGTGGTCGTATGAGAACATTTTTCGAGGACAAGAAAACTTACCACACCCCCTGTCGTACCATGATGTCTCAAGGTTTATTAATTCGATAACTATGTTTGTTGTCTTTTAAAATCGATATTTCATTTAGCGTTTTTTAATGCAACAATCCAAATCAGGTATTTTTCAAAGTAAAAAATTGTACTCAGATTATATTTTCTTAAACAGTTGCATATAACAACACTTGGCTGTTATGGTAGGGATTTTAAACATCTGAAGGTCATTTCACAACTTGTTTTTACAACAGATAGCGTCCCTTTATTATCATAAGATTTGGATTTTTTCTATTTATCCGCATTCCTTGTACAGTAAAATCGAGTTGGGGGTCGCTTAACAAATAAAACAACATGTATTCGGTTACATGCTCTAATTTCCCCCTCCTCGTTCGCTTCGATCTAGGCAATCAAGATTGGTATTACAAACTACCTGATAAAACACTTATGACTCAAAAGTATTATGTACAGATGAACACGTGTACTTGCTGAATATTCTCTGTCTAGTGGAATGAGAATATATAACACATATAGTGCTGTATTCGTTGGGAAGCTCATTCAAACTTCAAACTATTGTAGACAGATTGGTTGATTGAAATAGTGAATAGCATAAAAAGATTTTAAAAATGTGTCACAATTAATTTTATACCTAAATTAATCAATCTAGTAACTATTTTCCAATTATTTTACAATCTTGTTATTTATTACCTCTAATGATAAATATCTGTCGTTTTTTCTAGGGTACATCGACGTGAAGTTACTGTAGAGATTAGTTGTGAAGGCTTTTATCGAACTGGAATACGACCAGATATACCACAATATGCATTGAATTTAGTCTCATTAATAGCTCACCTACGTTTTCATAAATCGTTGGAAAGTTTGGAGAATCGTTTGGGATATACATTTAACGATAAGTCTTTACTACATGTAAGTTTCTGTTCTGCTGGTCTTTATGTGTGTATGTATATATGTACGTATGTTTGGGAACACGTACAACAGAACATTATTTTATATTTTATTGTTGTATATTTAATTCACCCAAAATTTGGTTTAAGTGAACTGAGCACCAAAAATAGTATACATCATACAAAATAAAAAGCTAACATTATGAAGGGATAATGAAGAAGAGGGGAGTGCAATCAAAAGAATAAGTGACCACAAACAGTATAGATAAGTTATTTAAAATTACAATCAAGGAAGACATCTTTTAGTTTAGAGAGCCTTACTTTTATGAAGAGTGTAAAAAAATACAGCAGGACAACTACCAGCTTCTATCTATTCTAAAACATATTTGATAATACTTCAAGCTAATCAAGTTGCACCCTGTCTGGGATCTCAACCAGCGAGTTTTGATGAACCAATAGATCCCTGTTATATACAGCTTTAATTTATACCACGGTCCTATGTCGCAAATTGACAGCCCCTCTGTTTCTTCTACCCTATATCGGCATCGGTAATTAATACTTGATGTGGAAGCCTCTGGAATGACATTCGTAAAACATGTTTTAGCTATTGAAGCTGGTCTTTCAAGTTGGTGGCATTAATAGGATTATTGTCACTCTGCCCCCGAATACATATTCCCGAACATCCACATTAGCATGATTTGGGCACTGGATATCAACAATTCTTCGGAGTTAGTGACGACTGAACACAAAGCGTTGGCAAACATCCTCACCTCGGAAGGACTAAGTTTCAGAAATACGGAACAGAACTGCCATCACAGACGTATTTTAGACCCGACCTTTTACATGCAGATTGACAAAACAATGGCGATAGAAATAGCTCAGATTGGAAGAAGTCTAAATTGTGATATAACTATGTAATCATGAATGTTATATACTGTTTCCCTCTTTTTGTTTGTTTTTATAGCAATCCCTTACTCATCCATCATATCGGCGAACAAATTTCGGTACAAATCAAGATCATTTTCAAAATTCATTGGTTAGTTGCGGTCCACGTATTTTAGAATATGGTGATAAGCTAGAATTATATAAGGCATGGCGTAAAAAGGGTTTAACTAAAATGATACAAGTTATGTCATTTTTACCAAAAATGAATGAAGAACGATCAAATATTTATGGGAATGAACGATTGGAATTTTTAGGTGATGCAGTTGTTGAAGTTATTTCCAGGTAGTGAGTTAAATAATTTGAATTGTTGGTTAACTTCAACTCGTAAATCTTTGAAAACCAAGGGCGTGGAGCCTCAGAACTATTTCTGTTCTATCCAATTAGTGTGGGATATTCCGACAGTGCATGCCCACGACCTCCACCCAATAAGTAGTTATAAAAGTAGAATGGAACAGCTGTCTATCCCCAGTGCTCGTTGGTTTTCAGTGGTTTACCTGCTGAGGTTAATCTGTATCAAAAACTTTCAAATTTAGTCAATTGACGATTTTACATAACATCTATTTATTTGGTTATTATTTCATACGTTTTTTTATTCCTTCTTTTCATTTATTCTGCTTGGAATTTATGTTCCCTCTCTGTCTCTCTAATATTTGACTTTTTACTTTCATCTGGACTTTGTTACTTTCCTCTTAGTTTGTTAATATCTGAACTTAACTCATGAGGTTAGTATCCTGTCCAGACATTTCATTCTTTGGTTTCATTTACACTCTTTACTGAACTTTACTTTTCATATTTAACAATGTACTACAATTGATATTATCATGATTATTATATTCCGCTACGTTCCAAACCTTGATGATTTCCTCATTGTAATTGGGTTGATTTGAAATGAGACATGTTGGATTGGTATTCATCTGTCGCGTCAGGTTATACGTTGTTTATGTGACTTACTTATTGATTGCTTATGAAGATTATTATTGTTGTTGTTTAGATAACTGGTCGTTGTCTGTTAATTGTTCAATAACGATTCGTTTTTCATGCTAGCTCACTGAACCGATGTCTTTGAGTTCGATTTTTTACGGGACTGTGTATACAAACTACTGGAATAATAATACTAGGACGAAATAATTGTGTTCTGTACTCCATGATTTTCAACATTACATCTTAATCGATGTCATTCCGTGGCGCGCAGTCACTCAGAAGGCGAATTGATTTTAACAAGACTCTTTCATCTAAACTGTTAATAGTCAGCTCACTAGTTATTTACTTCTAAATGTTCCTGAAATGTGACGTGATCGATGGAGTCCAGGTATCTCAGGAGTAAAGCAGTTCTTACCAGTGGCATTGGATGGTGGGGTAGCCTCGCTGTATCGTGTATTAATTGAGGTCAAAATTTTATTATTAGACACCGGTTCTCTGATTCTGGTGGTCTAGTATTCGTTTCAAGACATAAAAATCATGAATCTGATTGCTAGTGTGGTCCTGGATGCATACTGCTGAAAAACCCCTCTTTGTCTTAATAGCTATGATTTTTTTTTCTAAGAATATTGCTTTTAGATAGTTTCCTTTTTCCTCCACTTACCCTCTTTTTCCCTTTTTCTGTTTATATGTATCTGTATGTCCGTTTGCAGTATCCACTTATTCTTCATGTTCCCTGAATTATCCGAAGGTCATTTGGATGCTTACCGTCAAGCCATCGTTCAAAATCAACATTTAGCTGAATTAGCTGTTGTAAGTTTAATCATTGAACACTTAATGATTTAATCACCCAGACATAAACGACAGAATTCAGCACATGTGTTCATCAATTCAAGTTGTTAACATGGCGAGCTGAAACTATCAAGATAAATCTAACAGTAGTAATAGTAATAGTAATGGTAGTGTTGTCGGTAGGAGAAAACACTAGGCATATACAATATAGTTCGAGAATAAACAACCAATTTGTCTAATAAAAAATATAATTATCTTCAGATAAAGAGGGAATTCATATGCGTCATTTCGATCGATGAGACATGTTACCTAAACTTTTCTACCATTTGGTCACGGTATTTGAGCAAACTTCAATCAGGTGAATTTCACCTACTATCATGACCAAGCTAACTACTCTTATTGTGTGAGCGAGGGAAAGTAGTGATTGGTTGTTTACGTAGATAGACTGGTAGATAATCTGATAGGTATTAGGTGTGTCATGTATATATTTCCCTACCTCTTGTACTTACTTGATTGTCTGGTAAATCACGTGTTATTGATTTGAGTTGTGTTAATGCCTGGAAGAATAATGCTGGCTGGGTATCCAGCATAGAGCACGAGTGGATCGTTTATGCAGATAAATCGTTCAGTGCTCATCCTAAGCAAATTAGTGTTCATTCAGGGAGAAATCTGAGCGTTATTTTAACTCGATAGAATGATACCAAATGTATTAATGTATATTCTTCCAATTATATAGGAACGATTGTTGTCTAAAGTGATAATTTGCTTTATAGGATTGATCCTCCAGTGTTAAGTGAATGTAATTCATAAGAAAAAAAACTATTATCCAACTGAGTTAGTAATATATATATTACAAAGAGAATCGAAACAGTAATTTATTTATGTACAAAATATTCAACTACTATTTTTGTACCATCAGATAAATATCAATAAAAATTAAAGTTACAAACTAACTAGTGATTAGTACCTCAATTAGTAACAGGAAACTTATTTGGAACTTGTCTCTCAAAATATAACCAATCACATAACACCAAATTGTTATACTTATCCAAAAAGGGTGAGTTTAAATTAACATCGCAGACAGTAAGTTTGTCACCTAGGTGCAACATTTATGTGATAATCACTAAAAATCAATATATTCATTGAGTAGTTATTGAGAAAATTGTACTGAACATGTGTTTTTTCCGACTTGATTTTTGTTTCCTTTTAACTGCTCAATAGTTTCAAACTCGTACATTCGAATCAATTAAATCTTGGACGATTTTGATTTGTTTCTTATTTGTGAGCGTTGTATAGCACACATCATACATTCGAATAAGTGAATATCTGATTTCATGTATCCTATGTCTACTTTTATTTCGTTCGATATTTAAGAATAAATTTCTCGTAATTTTTTAGCGTCTTGGCATTCATAAATACTTGTTGTATACTCATAGTGTAGACTTTTGTTATGATTCTACATTTATCTACGCTCGATCTGATGCATTTGAAGCTTTAATGGGTAAGTTTTATCATGTTGGTTATTGATGTTGTATTTATTCATAGAGTTGTGTGTGCTCTCAATTAACAAAGGGCCTTGAACAGCTTGAATTTTTCGGGGATGTAACTTTGTAGATAACACATAATTAGGTATATCAGCATCTCTGATCTATTTCAAGCGACAGTTGGTAATGACAGTGTAAATAGTGAATGCAATAATTCAAAAAATTCCATCAAACTTATATTATCAACAAATGGTATTTCGATTCAAGTCTTAACAATTGACAAGATAAAAGAAAAACAACAACAATATGTACGGTGAAAAACTGTAGAGTAATTTTTGATTTTTTCGGATATCTTTATTCCCAACCATCAACAATACAAATTTTCGAACTCTGAATTAGTAATTAGTAATTATAAGACAGTTTTTTAGGGTTGATCCGGGTTGAATTTTTTTGACATGATCCATTTTTGAACATTAGGTACATCTACTGATGGGTCTATTGTTAATTAAAATTCACGACTTGCAGTAAAATAAGTTAATATAACTCAACTATGCATGTGTGTATACATACAGACTAATTGTACTATCTATTTGTGTCCAAACTGAAGTAAAGCGGGATTAGGACCCACAGCTTACTAGTGTTTGGTAGTTAATCACTAAACTAACCCCTACAGCATGGTTCGCGAATGTTGACGATAGGCTTTTTCTTTCACTGTTTATTTGCATCATTCTAAATAATTTTGTCGCCTTCTATGACTTTCTCTTCTTTTTTCTAAAAAAAAGCTCATTTCGTTCCCATGATAACTAGTCACTATCTGATTGAATTATCTAATTCCCCCCATTTTCAAAATAGTTACAGACACTACACTTAATATTCCTGCAAATATACTGTTAACTTTAAAATAGAACTCATCAATCTATTCAATGTCCAACGTTCCTTCTCTCTGTAGTTTCAATTGACAATGATCACGCTACAATTACCCATAAGAAAGAATGGTTGAATAATTTAAGCTGATTGGTTAGACAATGGTATAAACGAGCCAACAAGATTGATTATTCAGACCATATAACAGCATAAATTAAACTGTGTTGCAATTAGACTTCTGTTTCATCTAGAAATAACTGAAAATGTTATTCGATCAATGGAGATTTATAATTCCAATTTTCATTATGTCAACTGTACTTTTTTATTAGTAATTGGTTCAATGTAACTAACCGAGTGCTTGATCGCTCATTAAGGAGGAAGAATGTATTTGTAAATCTCAGCGAATGAATTTGGAGTAAATCTAACCTTTCGCCTGGAAAATACAAATACATTGTTCGTCTTTAATGTTTCACATTAACTCGGCACCCAAATAGTGTGAAACTATTCGATCAATCGTAGACGAAAAATGCTTGGTCGCTCATAATAGTGATAATGATAATATTTCGCATGCATTTGATTGGTTACTAATAAGTGCATTGGTTAATTATACTATAATTAATGATTATTTGTTACATGTTACATGGTTTTTATTGTGCTTTATATGGTTAGTGGTATAATTGTGAAGCTTTCGTTGTCCGCTATGGACAACTCTTGATTGTCATAATGTATATCAAATGTTTTACTCAAAATAATGTATATATATATATATATATATATATATATATATATATATATATGTATCTTAGCTGCAATCACTTTAGACGCTGGACTTGATATTGTTGATAGAATATTTGGTGCTGTTCTATTTGGTGATGATGAAAGAATTCATCGTGTTTGGGTACAAATCCCATTGCATCCATTACAATCACAATGCCCTGAAGGTGATCGATCATGGGCAACAAAAGTCCCTATGCTAAAGGTATTCACTCCATTATTGTTGTAATGTTCATTTTGTGTTAAATTATATCTTCAATAAACATCCATTGTTGAGAAACTTTGATCAGTCAGTCAGTCATAAGCAACGTGGGATCTGCCATATATGTAAATTAGTTCAAGTTGTCACATCGTATCAGCGCATAGCCTAATAAAATTATTTAGTCAAATCCCAGACTAATAGAAATAGTAACAATATCAGTGGTAAGTAAAAAGAGTAGATACACCAAATAAACAACCTTGATACATCCTATCTAATCACACAACTTTCATGTTATAATTACTTTGATAGATCAATTTTATAGGCTCATATCATCACATGTGTGTGTGTGAGAACTGACAAGGATAAGCAGACTATTTAACCCGACATATATGTAAAGCGTAACTCGGAATTTCGAATCACTGATTACAAATTAAGCTTTCCTAGCTTGTGAGTTGTCGCTCTGGCATAAACGGAACGTATATTTGTAAATAATAATTCACTGAACTGCCACTTAAAGTTTTTAACAATGGATGTTTATCTTTTTTGATATATATACATATATAATGTTTCATTAAAATGATTTCCGATCATACTTTGGTATAATTGCCTTTTGGTTTGTATCAATACTGAATTCTAGCCAATCAATATATGTTCTGTACAAACTGAAAGTGTTGTTCTACCAACTTGATCGATCTACCATATTTACTTGATTTTTTTGTTGCCTCTTTTTGTAATAATAAATTTGGCAGAAATAAAATGAATTTCCTAATAAAACACTTAGAAAAGAACTTTCAAGCTATTTTCTGGTTTGTGATATTTACCCATTGATCAAGCAGTTCTATGTTCATTATTGAGAAGTATGAGGCATACAACAATAAAACTGTGGGTATATCCAACAGTTCTTGTGTTGTTTGTATTAATTATCCTCAGAACATCTTCTGGGAACTGATGTAGAAAAAAATGAAAAAAAGAGATTGTTCGCTTTGGTATATATCATGACCAGTATAATGCTTAGAAAGTTAAATCGCCGATTGTTGTCTACTTGTGAATTCTATGAACTTCTATTTGTATTTTACGGTCTATTTTTGTACCACTGATATATGCTCACATTTACTATATGTAATTATTGATAAAAATAATTTCAAATTTACATGCTTGTATATGGTATGTTTTCATCATTATTTACAAACTTATGACCGAGGTATAAAAAAGGTGGATGGGTTAGTTTTCTGTATTTTTATCTATCTATCTATCTAACAATCACCTACAAGTTTGCTAATGTTCGACATGGTCGTTATTATGCTTTTTAAAGGAGACTGAGTGACTGGATATTTTCGATTATATGATAAGTACAGTTGTTTTTTCAAGCATATTCGTCTCCAGAAATCTACTCTCGCCTATTCAGGTTCTACGAAACGCGAATAATTCCAAGCACCAGGCAACGTGGAACCAGGAACTCAACCTAAAAATTTTTGATAACTTTTTAAATTTATCCACATCATAAATACAACGAAACTTTGTGTCAGTGTAACGTCCCGTGACAAGATGTGTAAATAATTAATGTCAGGATTCATTTACGTACATTATGTGTGCTATTGGCAACTTTTAATCTATTTAATAAAATGTAGTGGATTGACTGACTGGTCACTGAGAAGGAGGGCGCACTATGACAATCTAGCGATAACTAAACACAAAAAGCTAGGCAAATGACTTCTGACAATTTTTAGAGATGTTTTTTTCTATCGAAACATTTATTGAAAAGACAAAAATACTAGTACAACTGGAGATCATGATAAATCTGCACCACACAAATAAATTCTTGAGCAGGTAGCTCATCTGAAGTAAAAAAACAGTACCTCCATAATTATTGGTTGTCTCAATACTCTCTAATTGTTTTATTTTTATTTTAACATTTCCAATCAAATTTTTCTCTTTTGAAAAAACAAACTATATTCATGTAAATGTCCTCATGTTTTATGTTATTTCCTAACTATCTACCGTCCACTAACCCTTCTAGAAATTGTGTACATTAGAAGATACTTTGGGCATAAAATTTAAACACCTACGTGTTCTTGCTCGTGCTATGACTATACGGAAAACTGGTTTTAATTTTTATACATTGTGAGTTTTTTTTAATTTCATTAAAGTGAGGAGGTTTTGTGCAAGATTGGTTTTATATGTAGGTTGTATTCATCACAGATATCGACCTTAGTTTGGGCTACCGTTTAAAACCAGTAAGAAACCTGACAGCTATTTAGTGTTCTGTAGCTCTCAGTAGCCTATACCATTAGTTCTAGTGACTATATGTTCTCTAAGAGACCTGAAGGTTCTGTGTTCGGTCTCTGGTTGGGTTGTTAAACATACTGACTATAAATCTCGTACGACTATCTTATGTCTTGGAAAAAAGCTTTGATTAAATGCCTGAGATAATTATAACACCTTTAGTTAGTCCCGAAATTGTTACGGGTTTATACGTTTTCATCATTGACAATATGTCATATTTTCAAAGAAAACGGCAATGTCATCTGTAAACATAATAATCTTCTTATATTGATATGGGATTGAAGTTTACGGATCGAATTACATAACAATAAATTTGTGGTCTACACTAGACATTCAACTTTCAATCAACTAGGTCCTTTATTCGAAACTCACTCTTTCCAGTTTAATGTAAACAGCCGGGTTATAGTGTCGTTCTGGTTTTCACATAACCATTGTATTATTCGAAGTCAAATACATTGCTCCTTCTCTGCTCCCTTGCTGGGGTCCGAGAAATCGTACAACACATTGGCTAGATACATCAGATGTGTCTCAGAATAGAAGCCAGTGACGATCCTGCTGTAACCTTCTTTATGAGATTGCTGATGTGCTAATCAAATTCTAGCTGTCAGATCGATATTGAATTATGAGGTTAATTATTATAATACATCCAGTATAGAGATTTCAATGTTTATAGGTTAGTTCTAGGCAATGTGGATGATATATCCGTTGTTAATTCCAACAATAATGATGACCTTATTCAATACCATGTTTGATTACTTGAAAGCATTATCGGCACATATTTTTTGAAAGTTAATGTTCTTAAAATAAGAGGTCTCAAATGGTGGTGGTTATAACCAATGTAAATTCATCTGAAGATCTTTCGGCATGTTACATTATATATACCTTTAGTACATGAATTTCACTGTGCTTCCCTCTCATTTATCTAGAGATCGATAATGGATAAATAAATCATTATGTGTGTAGGGTTCTGGAGATTGATGAGTTTTTATTCAGGTCATGAACCAGTCAATGTTAGACCACCATTGAAGACCTGGAAGTACTGGACGGTCAGTTCGTCGTAGTATGTAGTCCCATACTTAACACCATGATAACCCAGCTCTGTGGTCTAATGCTTAAGCGTCCTCACACGAAACTGAAGGTCCTGGGTTCGAGTCCCACATGCGGGATAGCGGATGTGCACTGTTGAGGAGTCCCATACCATAACGAAACGGCTGTCCAGTGCTCCCACGTTTCCAGTGGTGGTCTAGCTTAGACCGATTCATGATCTCAATATAAGCCACTATTGTTTGATCGTTGAGTAGCTGCTAGTGTCATGGCTCATTAGTCCTTAGCACTGATCGGATTCTATCTATCAAGCTGCTATATAGCCACCAGTCTAAATAATTCGAAATCGCATCCATGATATTTTTAAGTTAAAAATAGTCGTAAGTAGTTAGCGGTAAATCTTTAATTTAGGTTTCGTACTAGTTGTCCCTTTTCAACAAGGTGTATCTGGAATCCTGTGAGAACCAATGTTTCCTGTGAGATTCGAACTCATACCACCCAAATTCATAATCCGGAATGTTATCACTAACCTGTTTAAAGTGTGACTAGTACAAGACCATGATCATACAGATTTTATCACCAAACAACTCCAACCACCATTGTTGTCTCGCAAAAATTATAGTAACCAACTTTGTGATAGTATGTAAGCTATTTAAAACACCGTTTGATGAATCCATTAGATGTTTATCAAATAATTTAAAACAAACCTAAAATCTGAAAATTTATTGCAATGTTTGCACATTTTGAAAATAGATGATTTGAAACAATTAGTTAATTCATTAGTTTCAGACTAAAACAGAAAGGAAAGGTTTTTCTTTCTCCTATTTCTCGCTTATATATTTTTCTATTCAACTGTCAATGGTATTTTATGATGTAATATCCTTCACTTATTTTCCAAATATCTTATTTTCATTTGTTTCTACTTTGTTTATTTGTATTGATTTTTAGGGGAGATAATCAACGTTTAGAATTTCTTGGTGATTCTTTGTTAAAATATGTGTCAACAGATTATTTATTTCGACATTTTCCACGACATCATGAAGGACATTTATCACTGTTAAAAAATTCACTAGTGAATAAATATACACAGGCATCTGTATGCAGTGAGTTAGGCTTAGAAAATTATGTTATACGTCGTGAAGATAATAGTATGCATAAATACGATTGCAAAATTAATAATAACAATGATTCTACTAATAATAACATATCGAAACATTCAAATCCGTCTTGGAATACTACTTATATAAGTAGTCAAAATTCAAATATACTCAAATCTAAACAAAATAAAAAAGGTGGTCAAAAAGTTATTAATTCAGATGGAAATAAAAATGGCAATTGTAATAATCCACAAAATCAAAATGTAAAATACAGAGCTGATTTATTGGAAGGTAATTATGAGATTATGAATTATGTTTACTGATACCATCAACATCATCATTGTTGTTGTTGCAAACCTCAATTGCAAAGTATAATATGTATGTACTCAGTCTAAGAGGTATGGCATATTTTGTTTATATGTAGTAAATGTTTATTCAAACTGAGTTTTAGGTAGAATGGGAAGTCCAGCTGTATAGCACATAATGGTTTAAGGTCAAATATTTTAAGTATGAAGTCTTGACATGACCGAACAAAACAATCTATCGTTTTATCAGGAACTCGGCTTTAAGGAATTAGGAAAAAATTAGGCGAGAAATATGAAAACTGTATTCCAATGATAAAATTATATTCAGGAAACAAAGTTATTTATAGGATTATGTTGAAGTTCTAAGTTTTGAGAAAAATGCCAAGATTGGTAACAAGTTTGTGATAATCGTTTAATCAAATTGACTCATGATCTCAACCATTAAAATTACTATAATATCCACAAAACTCCTTCTAATACTAAGCGTAAGCAATTATCCTTTCTTAGACATGTCCTATCATCTTGAAATGTCCAAAATATTCGTAAATTTTTTCACTGACTTCTGAAGAGTTTTTTGAGGAGTTACGCGATGGCTTCTAACATTGTAGGTGCTCATTGTGTTGACAAGTCTCAGATTTAAGAAAGAATAAACATTCCATCCTGTTAGACAGTGTTTCTCAGAATGAAGCTAATTCGCGGCGAATATTATATAGATGCTAATGTACGTATATTTATTTTCAGATGTTCAGACTGAATTAAAATGTTTGAGCGTTTATAACTACAATTTGATTAGTCATTTTTAGTGTCGTATACAATTAACTTGACTGAAAATTGTAAGTTTATATCAATTTTAATACATAACGGTGACTGTATGTAATGTTGTTGTAAGTTTATGACTCCATAATATCAGTGAATCAAGTGTTGTTTGAATGAAATAATGTGTTATTATAATTTGACACGGCCCCGGTATGGCCGAGAGTGGGGTGGGCTCGCCCTCCCTCTCCAAATGCTCTCACACGGCCACGCGTATACAGCCTCTGACAGGGAAGTCCTACTCACTGCCTTCTCGTGGCGGGGGTGTTGTTTACGAAATTGAGAGAACGAAAAGCGAATGTCCGGCGCTTTAACCGGATTCCAAACCAATGGTGCACATAGGCTACAGTATCCCGTGGAAATAAATGGCGTGTGAACCAATCATTGGTCACCGGCTACCATGGGGGCTGCATCTCCTCATGACGCTCCACTGCCTTGTGGGTCAGACCTTCAGGTCAAAGGCTCGGGGTGCGGCCCCCTAAGAAAACCACCTGATTCGGTCTGGGCACCCGAGCAGTATCACAGCCCTCACACAAATCGAATGATTTATGTGGCGCATATCTATTTGGTGCCTCCATTACACGACGTTAAAATTGCCTTATTTAAAGCCTCACATTGCAAACTAACGTCCGTTACATAATTGTTAAAAACCAGATAGTACTGAATAGTTGCTTTGTTCTAGTCTACTGGAATCTAAGCTTTGCTAATTGACAACTTCACAGAGTATCGAACTTAGGGCCTCCAAGTCTCACACCAACCAGCTAACTTTCAGACCATTAAGTCAGCGCATACAATAGTTTAAGCCACCAACTATTAATTCACAATACTGTACGACTATTATCAATTCCTGACATTTATCACATATCCGATATCGTTGAACTGTAGTGTCGGTTGCTATGTTAAGCCCACACAACTTATTCTAGTTTCTGGACAAACTAATTTGTTCTTCTCGAGTCACATTTTGACGTCAATTATTCGCTTATCATCCTTGGCTCTTTTTATATGAGTGTGTGTGTGCACCTCTTATCCTATTCATCACATATCTGTAACTTATTTTAGTCTGACCATAAATATTGATTAACGCTTGACTAAATTGAGTTGCCTCACACACCATCTCCACTATGCGTTATTTCGCTTCGCTTTATTCTCTTCGCTTCTCTAGTCTTTTGTCTAGATCATCGATTGTATGAAATATACGTATTCGAAATTCATTCTCGTATTTGACTTATTTAATTCCGCTGTTCGCCAACGTGATTTAAGTCGATGATAATATACGAGAATAGTCAGGATGTATATTTCGACAGCAATTATTTGATAACAATCAGAAACGATCCAAATGGAGTCATATATAGGGCCTCCAAACGATTGTACTAATTACGGCCTGTAGTGTCAGTTATTATGCTAAGCCCATATATCTTATTCTAGCTTTCGGACATCCTATTCTATTCATTCTACTTGAGCCATACTTTAACCTTGTTATTTATTCGCTTATCAATCTAGACTGTTTTTATATGAGGGTATATGTGTGTGCCCTTCTTATCCCATTAATCACATGTCTGTAGCTTTATTTTGTCTGACTATAAATATTGCGTAACGCTTGACTAAAATGGAGTTGGCTTCCCAGCCATCTTCCCTGCGTGTCATTTTGCTTTGCTCTGTTTCATTCGCTTCATATACAAAATATGTATGCACAGGTCAATTATCGTTATTTGACTTATTTAATTTCGTTATTGACTAACGTGATTTAAGTCGACGATGATATACGAGAAAAGGCGATAACAAACATTTATACGATATAAATAGGAGTCAGATCCACGGGCCACTAAAATGGTGAGCCCTTCAACGAACATCGTCCGATCTAAATGAGGACAAAATTAAATTACGGGCCACTAAAGGCCTCCCAGCAGAATTCCGGAAATTATCTTTTGAAATCAACGACTGTTCAGTATATGGTGGTTGTTATTGTAAGGTGTTGAATTTGAGGTTTAATGTCAGGAACTGAATTATTTTGATGTTATTAGTGTTTCTTTGACTTTTTCTTTTTTCATCTTATCATCTCGCTTATTGATGTGAAATGCAGATGAACCGACGCACACTTTATCTACTTACTGTCTATCTGACTGACAGATTATCAAATAACTATTGTGCCATATATCTATAGTAATATAACAATTTTAATTCATAACGTTTAAAAAACGCCCATTACATAATACCACTGTTTCTCTGTTTTTCCTCGTCATATTTTTAAAATTTTCGCTTTAGCATTTATTGGTGCATTATTTGTCGATAAAGATTTAACATGGGTTGAACGTTTTTGTCAAATATGTTTTTGGCCACGTCTTGTTGAGTTTATTTTAAAACAAGAATGGAATGATGCCAAATCAAAATTACAACAATGTTGTCTCACATTTCGTTCATTAAATGAAGATCCAGAAATCGCACATTATAAAGTTAGTTTTCAAACGAAAACTCCCCTTTCCGTTTTACTACCGTACTCTATTAAATTAAAACAAACTAATGTTATAAAATTTTTATTTCCATTTGTGATTATACACTTGTTTCATCTGCGCTTTGATTGCTCAAAATATCCCTGGGAATAACGAGAACCCTAGCTTTTCTGTTATTTTGTCAAATCATATTTTATCGGTATGGGGATTTGTGGAGATTGTAGTATTCGCACAATTGAAATAACGAACCAATCTAAGCTAGAAAACCATTGGAAACCTGAAAATGCTGGACAGTCGTTTCTTTCTAGCAGTATACTGCTACTCGGCGGTGAGCACCCACGATCCCTCACGCAGGACTCGAACCAAGGACATCCGGTCTCGTTTATGAACGCTTAACATTTAGACCACTCAATCGGCATCCAACAATGTTCATGTCTAACTTCATTAAAAACATAATCCTTCTCACCCTGTTGTAACGTGTAACTGCAGATTAGATGCGCAGCGTATTATGGATCGGATCAATGACACGTAAACACGCAAGGAACGACCTAGAGTCCCGATTGGCCATGCTTCGCTGTCTAGCCCAGACATTTGAGTCCAGAACACAAGTCTCAGCCTCTGAGATATGAATCGTTATATTTCAAACATACTCTGTTTATATACCAATCAACCAGACCACATCGTACCATAAAATAGAAAACAACATTTGTACAATATTTAACAAGTGAAATAAGTATTGACCAATAGGGAATGCCCATTTAAAGTCCAAGGACACCATTAGACTTAACATGATAATTATTGGTATATTTTTCCGAATATCCTAACACACCCCTTCATCCATTGCCTGAGGTGGACAACCGTCTCACACACCTTACTTTCTAAAATTCTATATATATCGTTGTTCCGGTTCTTCTCATTCCCAACGTCCCTTACCTCATATTGTATTATATTTCAATGTTACAGTTTAATATTAATCTACTTGTAAGCGGTTGAAGAGAAACTACAAAATACTATATGTTCATACTATCCTGAATCAGTTGTTGTTTTGACTTTATTCAAAGGAGTAAAAATATGAAATAAGACTGTCCCAATTCGAAACAAACGTGGATTTAAAATAAGACTAGCATTGTTTGGAGCCGTCTACTGGACAAACGACGAATAATACTGTTTGTAATTTGTTTAGTCAAGATCAGTTCACTATGTTAACCATAATGATAGGATCGGTTGGCGAATAGAAACAATCATGAGACACACTTGTTTACAAACGAGACCGAAGGTCCTTGATTTGAGTCCTGCGTGCGGGATCGTTGATGCGCACTGCCGAATAACCCTATGCTACTAGAACGAGACGGCTGTCCAGCACTTCCAGGTTTTCAGCAATGGTCTAGCTTAGATCGGTTCATTATTTAAACTGTGTAAAAAGTTCATACCTTTGTTAGAATTGTGTCCATAGTAGGTTTGAGATGATTAACAATGTTTGTAGCTCAGGATGAGGATACTGAATGTGTTTTTTTTCTGAGCATCTCAGAGACCAACAAAGACGATTTCTTCTGAATTCACTTAATCAATAATCATCTGAACAGGTAATTAGCGATCACAAAATACAACATGCTACCCACGTTCGGAGTTTTCATAAATATAGGTTTTAAATTGTAACCAAATGGCTTCATTGAGACGGTTCGCTTAGTTCAGTTAACGCTCAACACCAACGACAGGCAAATACAAACGACTTGATTACTTCTACTGTTTTTCTTCCGGTATCAGCTTTTGTTGACAATTTATCTTGAATTTAGAAATACAGAATGCCTTGTATTAATTAGTAGAATAATGTTCCACATTTTGAATAACTTATTATTCTCTTATGTTATGTTGTTATCTTTATCAGGTTTTAGAACATAGTGGGCCAACTAACCAACGTGTTTATCGTGTTGGTGTTTATTTTCGTGGTCAACGATTAGCAACTGGTGAAGGTCGGTCTGTTCAACAAGCTCAAATGGAAGCAGCTAAAAAGGCATTGGAATTACATCAAGGTGAGTATTAGTAGTAGTCATCTGTTTAAATATATATCATATAATGTTGATGTCTGTTGCGCGAACATTCGCTTGTGAAACCAGTTTCCAAGTTGTTTTGATGAATTTTTGTATTTTACACATTTTGTAAATAGAATACACGAATTGAGTTTTTAAAGTTTTGCTGAAACTTGAGTAAAACGTTCAAGAAAACCATGAAATGTTGTCAGCTGTTAACGGAGATAACAGTGTAATAATCTATTTTTTTCAAATAGGCTAGACGTTTTAGTAACCACTATAAGAACTAAAAAAAGGTATGAAACCATAGCTACTATTAACCTCCTGTCTTGATGGGGACTTTGAATATATACAGTCTGTTTTCTTTTTCGCGAAATCCCCGTCGCCAATTTGTTGTGTGTTTATGACCCGCTAGTTATCACGTAATTTATTCTCCAATCAAAATACGACTTATTTGCCCTTGTACTGTACTAAATCAATGACGTTTGTTCGGTCTGATCAGCCTAGCGCCCTATTGGTCCGTTGCCCGGCTAGCCCGTCCAGCTGAGTCCAGAATGCCAACAACAGCCTCCACTACGCGAACCATTTATTTCAGACATATTGGGTTTATAAATCAGCCAAACAGACCGCAACGCACCATAAAATAGGAAATAACATTCATACACAATAAAGCCAAAATGTGGCTGTAATTGTGGGAAACTGAATAATAAACTGGGTATAATTTAAGAACAGTAAATCGTACATTAATAATCTATAGGTCAAAATGAAGCTTGTAATAAAGGGAATATAAATGTACACAATCTAATTACTAAATAGTTATACCATAAGAATATGTAGATAATATTAGTCCATTAAAATGTCTCAGAAGTTACTCGTAATTTAATCTTCGCTAGGATATAACACAGTCTCTTTGGCTTTGTGATCGCCAGTCAACCGTTACAGTGGTTATTCAAGCAAAGAATTCAGGAAAACCTTTTATGGACAGGATTATAGCGAAACGCGGAACATTTTCCATGGAAAATCAAGTATCTGACTCCGGTGAACTCTTAGGTTGTGTAATGAAAACCCGACCGAAGCTGCTACCTTGACGCGGTGGTCGGGCTTGCCTATCGTGATGACCCAACCGAGCTATATTGGCTGGAACGTATGTTCCTGTAGGTTCTACCACGCCAAGCAGGTCGATTGGTGAACGGTAAGACTAAAAGCAGCAACTCAAGGTCTGAGGGCGAAGTCGTACTGCTGACTGTAGAGAGGTGTGACAGCAGTAAGGTGTTTCCTCCGGACAACCAGCATGACAGCGATGCTGCCTTCCCACAAGGAGGGGTGGGGTTAGAAAAGGTCGACCTTAAAAATGTCACACCTCACCTTACCTCACGGATCTCCGTCTCCGGCGGTAAGGCCCTTTGAAGAACGGAGCTAACACATCAAAAACCTTCCACAAAAAGGCCGTGCGCGACCGGCCTCAAGCAGTTGTCCTTTGGGCTCTGCGGTCACGCTCCCAGGTCGTTAAGACCAACACTAATCCAATTTCCTTTCCAGGTTCCTCAAGAAATACCCTTCCACGGTGTGGGCAGCCGGGAAGTGACATCAGCCCTCATACCCGTAACAGCACACGAGACCAAGTTGGTCACATTCAAATCCTTCCTACACCTCCTAATACCTCTCTTATCTCCATGACTAACCCTCCTCACGTCTCTTTATCACCTCGCACCGCTAGGGTAAACGATTCGAGTACGTGGAACGCTATTCCTGGTCTCCTGAAACCACGCTCTAAACTACACGTAGGAGCTTTTAACGTACGAACACTGTGCCAAATAGGACAGCAGGCTTCCTTAGCTAGGACTTTAGAATCTCGCGCCATCGATGTGTGGTGCGTCTCCGAAACGCGCATACAGGATCCGAGTAGCGTCATTCATTTGACCTCACCATGCCAAAATAAAGAACCGACTCGATTTACGCTTCGTGTATCTGGAAGCCCTGATTCTGCTTCCAGTGGCCACGCCGGCGTATGTATAGCATTGAGTCCTAGGGCAGAACTAGCTCTCTTAGAGTGGATCCCAGTAGACAGTCGTTTGTGCGCTGTCCGACTGAACGGAACAGTAAGAATTCGGAAAGATAGGGACACTCGTCGTTGCCTCTTCGTCGTCTCTGCCTATTCTCCCACTGACTGCAGCTCAGATGATGTAAAAGATGAGTTTTACAGAAAGCTTTCGGACCTTCTCCGAAAAGCTAAGCGCTCGGATGTAGTAATAGTGGCCGGTGACTTTAATGCTCAAGTAGGTAAACTAAGCGATAGGGAAAGACACCTAGGTGGATCTTATGGTGTCGTGGCTCAAAGGACAGATAATGGCGACCGTCTGTTGCAGCTATGCTCAGATAACCGCCTGTTCCTTGCAAATACTAACTTTAAGCATAAGGAAAAACATCTTTTAACATGGCGACCCCCTAATTCGTCCCAACGTTGGACCCAAATAGATCACATCGCTATCAGCCACCGATGGAGGGGCTCGATAGAAGACTGTCGCTCATTCTGGAGCACATGCTTAGATTCAGATCATGCTCTAGTGCGAGCGCGTATCTGTCTGCGTCTTACTGGACGTAGGAAAGACGCTGCAAGGAAACCTCTTAGAGGCCTACTTAATGATAGTCAAGCTAAGAGTATATTTCAGGAACAACTAGGAAAACAGTTAGGCAGCCATGTATGTGATGCCCACCCCGATGCAGCATAGAATGATATCCGAAAAGCTGTGGAAACAGCAGTGATATCTGCTAGTAAGGTAAACCAGAAGGTTAGGGAGCAACACTGGATCTCAGCAGCATCTATCGCACTGATAGATGCTCAAAAACTCATTCCACCTGGCTCTGAACATAATGAAGAGCGGAGTCAGCTTAAGCGCAAGCTGACAAGAAGTCTACGCAATGATCGCGAACAGTGGTGGGTAGCGAAAGCAAGAGAGATGGAAAAGGCAGCGGCAATAGGTAATAGCAGACAATTGTTTAGACTCGTTAAGGAAACTGGAATTAGGAACCCGACCGTTAGCGAAACAATCTCAGAGAAAGATGGACATATTATTCATTCTCAATCCAGGAGATTGGATCGATGGGCAGAACACTTTAGGGATCAGTTCAACTGGCCTTCAGCCACACTTCGGTTTCCCACGATCTCCACTCAACCTGAATGGCAAGTTAATGTAGGTCCTCCGTCCCTTTACGAAGTTGAAAAAGCCATAGGAAATCTGAAACGAGGGAGAGCAGCAGGCCCTGACAGGTTTACTCCTGAGATTTTTAAGGATGGTGGTCCAGTATTAGCAATGAGATTAACCGAGGTCTTAGGTAGAATTTGGGAACTGGACGTAATCCCATCTGACTGGTCTCAATCACTGATTGTGCCAGTCTATAAGAAAGGACAAAAGTCCTGTTGTGACAATCACAGAGGAATCAGTTTGACTAATATAGTGTCTAAAATATTAGCTTCAATAATACTTCGACGCCTAATCAAAGCTCGTGAAGAGCAGATTAGAGAAAACCAGGCTGGTTTTCGACCTGGACGTGGTTGTATAGATCAGATATTCACACTGCGTCAAGTTCTAGAACACAGACACACTTTCAGACGCCCCACAATGGTAGTGTTTCTCGATCTTAAGGCAGCATTCGACTCTGTTGACCGTGAGGTTCTATGGCAGTGTTTGTCACTGAAGGGAGTACCAAAGAAGTACATTAACCTTATAAAGGCTCTCTACTCGAACACAACTGGTAGAGTGAGAGCTTATGGCGAACTGTCATCAGAATTGATTACCTCAAGTGGTGTTCGTCAGGGCTGTCCACTCTCCCCATTCTTGTTCAACTTTGTGGTCGACGTACTTTTAGAGATAACACTCTCCTCATCTAAATTTCCAGGGGTTGAACTTCTACCGGGGGGTTCACTTGTTGACTTAGAATATGCTGATGACATAGTTTTATTTGGTGAAGACGCTGACAAAATGCAGAGTCTTCTGACCACTCTAAGCAACAATGCAAGCATGTTCGGGATGCGATTCTCTCCCTCGAAATGCAAAATGTTGCTTCAGGATTGGGTTACATCGACACCCGAACTAGTGATAGGGAGTGAATTAGTTGAGTGTGTCGACCGCTTCACTTATCTTGGAAGTCTCATCAGCCCTTGTGGTCTGGTGTGTGACGAAATCTAAGCACGGATACAGAAGGCTCGACTAGCTTTCGCCAACTTGCGTCATTTATGGCGTAGGCGAGATATCCGTCTACCAACCAAAGGACGTGTTTACTGCGCAGCAGTTCGTTCCGTCCTACTTTATGGCAGTGAAACATGGCCGGTAAGAGTAGAGGATATTCGTAGGTTACTAGTATTCGATCATAGGTGTCTTCGAAATATTGCTCGTATATCCTGGGACCACCGAGTAAGTAACGCAGCTGTTAGGAAACGGGTACTAGGTAAGGATGGCAAATCAATTGATGAAGTAGTGAAACTTCATCAGTTGAGATGGCTGGGACACGTGTTACGTATGCCCAACTGCCGACTGCCTCGACGTGCTATGTTCAGTGGTATAAGAGTAGGTTGGAAGAAAGCTAGGGGCGGCCAAACCAAAACATGGCACAAATCCATGAAGTCACTGACAAGTGGACTGAGTCATGTTGGTAGGTGTAGACTATCTGGTTGGGGACCGCGAGATGATAGCAACCGGTGGTTAGAGACCCTGAATGACATGGCTCAAAATCGTTTGCAATGGCACAGGTGCATCCACTCTCTATGTTCTCCCGAATTCTAATCTTCTGAATTCTTCATGTCCCTTTTTTCCTCTTTCCAAATTTATTTCACTGGATTATACTCGTTAAATAACATCTCCAAACCCTAATCGTCCCGATAACTGCTTATACTCTTGCTACCTCTACCACTACGGGATTTGAATCGACCACTGCATCTCTGTGCTAATGTGGTATGGCAACTCGAACTGATGTACGTACGTACTAAGTTCTACGTTGTTACTGACTGACTGAATGAATGAAATCATCATCCTTATGTCACGGTATCTTACTAAAGTTTTAGAACATCCATATTGGAGCTACTCACAAATTTACCAGATACGGAACCGCGTACCTGGCTTCAAGCTACACTTTAATGGTGCAGGAATAGTGGTACCAACTATTTCTGTAGACCAAAGTATATGAAGCCGGGTTTAATCCTACAACTTAGTGGTCGCAAGTTGAGCGTTTTAATCAATGAACCATTTAAGTATATTGTTTGAAGACAATTATAATAAGGAAATTGATGTCACTTGATAAACTATTGAAAATTAGAGAGCACTGAGTCTGTTTCATTTTAGTGTTCTCACTACTACTTCGCCAGTGGTTGTGTCCAGAACCTGTTGGTGTGATAAAGGGTACATGGTTTATTGCTAAAAGCGTTGGAATTTCAGCCCATAATTCACAGAACCAAGTCCTTCTCAGCTTACTTCGGTCTTGATAACCGAGTAGTATCAATAGCTGAGTGCACGAATCTGTTCGTGGTAAGTAGGTAATCACAATTTCTCATTAAAACTCTAATGAATTCGTCCCAAAGTTAATCACCAGGGAATACCTAATTAGTGATTGTTTCTATTAAACTACATTTTGACCTGGGAAACTATCTTCAAACAAACCAATCTGTACGAATCTCTAATTTGAATATTTAAGTTGTGACCACTGAGTTATCAATTTCCAGATTGAACCCAGGGTACTGAACAGAAATGATAAATTGGTTCATAAAATGCCAAATCCTCACCAAGTGAAGTCATTGTAACACGAGTTGTGCATGCCCAATTACCCTTTACCTTGATACACGATGTTGACTGGGCTACTAGAGCAAGTTTCAGGAAAGAAAGAAGCTAGCAAGCCAAAACATAGCATCAATTCATGAAATCATTGACTGTTTAACTAAACCGTGCTTCCAGGTGCCAACCACCTGGTCGGAGTTCCTTCGCTTGTCGTGACCAATAGTTGAAAATATTGTAAGATGACTTAAAATCGACCTCAGTAAAGCTCGATTATTTACTATTTTTCTCCCGTTAGATCCTGAATTTCAACATTTCATATTTTTTCTCGATACTAGAGATTGATTCTTTCCTCTCGAAGCATATTCTATTTGTGTAATCTTTTTTTACCATTACTGATGCAGATAGTTCGATTGCTTCAGCATTCATCTTGTTGTGCTGATTGTATAATGCAGAACAATCTGGACCAATGCGTTTATGAGCTAGGCTCTTTTTTATTTGAATAAATGACGAACTAAATTCATTAAACATTGAACACTATTTCGAAATTTTCTTAAAATTTTCAACAGATACATTTCGTCAATTGGATTTTCAACGTTCAGTTATTTCAAAACGATATAAACAACCTTATATTAATAAAATATTGGATCAAGTACAAAATTGGGATGAACAATTAGTGGAATATTTTATTTCAGATAAACCTACATCTACAACAGTTATGTCCACCTTGACTTCAAATACTACTACGAATAATAATAATAATAATAATAATAATAATAATAATAATAATAATAATAATAATAATAAAATTACTCCTATAAATAATAGTGAAAACCAAACAATGAAACGATCATTTCTACCAAACCATAACAATGATATCAATGGAGAAGAATTATTATTGTATAGAAGTACTAAACGTCGTTGTTTTGACAAAAACATTCCTAATCAAAATGCATGTACAAATGAAAAAACATCATATCTCTCCGCCGTATCATCAACATCAAGATATGGCACTTCTCCTTCAATATATCTATCATCACAGACGTCAACTTCAACTAATAATAATGAGGAAGATGATATTGCAATGATCGACAGTAAAACAGAACAACTGAACGCGGTGGAAGACATAGAAAAAGGGAACGAATTGTTTGTTGTATTAAATAACAACGACAATGATGACGTCGAAGACAATATAAACGAAAAAGATGAGGAGGAAGAAGGCGAGATTGTAGAAGACGATGATGATGATGATTTTTGTGATGATTCTAGTAATGATATTCTGAATGAGAGACATTATAAATATAAATTACTTTTAAAATGAAAAAAAAGACAAAACATTGGAACACTGTGTATCTTAATCGTTGTAAATACTACTATTAACAAAAGTAATAATGACAGATGCCAACCCTGACTAAGTAGTCGAATGCATTTTACTCTCTTTTCATTTGTTCGGCCTTTTCTTTTCGTAAAGTCAACGAATTATGCGAACTTTTCTTCTTGCTTAACATAGAAAAATTCATTTCTTATTGACGGAAGAAAGTGGTCAATCAAAGTTGAACTACTGTTTTACATTTTTACGAACTTAATTATATTACACAATTTTGAATTGTAGTTATATATATATATATATATCGCTGTGAAGGAATTTGTCATTCTTAAAATACATTCATAATCTTGATATACAAATAGTGCAGTTTCATAAGTGATTGTTTAATAGTAATTGAAATGTGTTGGGGACGATATATCCCGAAAACTCATAGTTTGTAACTTCGTCTTTGTGGAGCTTGTATGCAGATGTATGTGTAGGCATTCCTTACCACCCACGCACATAGTTGATTGATAAACTTATCGATTAAATGTTTAAATATATCAATGGCAATCAATTGACGAACTTATCGGTTAAATGTTTAAAAGTTCCAGGGCAATATCGATATATATTTGTATATATACGTTTTAAATTGTGTTTGGTGCTCGCTCGTTTTCTAGCTGTTTGCAGAATATATTTTCCATACCAAGCTTGGACTTCTCCTTCTAGGCCCCCGAATGCCCTGGTACGGCCGAGAGTGGGGAGAGTCCGCTCTCCCTGATTTGGTTTGGGCACCCGGGCAGTATCACAGCCCACACACAAATGATGAACTCTTTATGTCTATGGAAATTACTTTTCTCGCTTCGAAAAACAATCAATTGATTCAAATTATTATCATTACTATTATTGTCATTATTATTATTATTTGCCACATTATTCACCCTCTTTTATACTTCTACAGTGGCTCGTCTTTGGTGGAAATTCGACTATATCTAAACGTTCTCGAGTCACTGTCCGGTTGAAAATTGTATGTTACCACCGAATACGAGAACTGAAGCAGTTTTTCTGAAACCACGTGCACCATTCAAACTGGCTGCCTTCAACGTTCGCACATTTCTGCAGGTCGGACAACAGATAGGGCTGGCTATGTCTTTGGAAAGTCTTAATATTGATGTTTGTTGTCTATCCGAGACCCGTATTCAAGACTCTGGCGAAGTACTACAAATTCGATCTCCATCTGTCGCTTCGAAAAGCTTGTTTTACGTGCGCTTATCCGGGGACCCTGTGGCATCTTCGTCTGGTCTTGCTGGCGTTGGTGTCGCACTAAGCGCTCGAGCTGAGGCAGCACTAGTCGATTGGATCCCCATTAACAGTCGGTTATGTGCTGTTAGATTAGAAAGTTCCATCAAAGTGAGAAGAAATCGGTGTGAGAAATGATGTCTTTTCGTCATCTCCGCCTATGCCCCGACAGATTGCAGCCCGGATGCAATCAAGGATGAGTTTTACCACCAGTTGTCTGTTCTTCTCCAGAAAGTGCGTTCGACAGATATTGTGATACTAGCCGGAGACTTGAATGCTCAGGTCGGGCGTCTAGGCACAGAAGAGAGTCGTTTAGGTGGCCGATGGGGACTCGTTGGTCGCAGGTCAGATAACGGGGACCGTCTACTGCAACTGTCTTGGACGATGGGCAGAATTTTTCGAAGGGCAGTTCAACTGGCCTGCTGCTCCGGTAACATCGGTCAGACTGTCCTGCCCTCCATGGCCGGTGACGACTGATCCACCAAATGAGGAGGAAGTCCACAAGGAACTCCAACTCTTGAAGCGTTACAAATCACCTGACCCAGATGACTTACGTCCGGCTCTTTTTAAAGATGGTGGTGACTTTTTGATTAAGGAATTGACGACGTTGTTTACAAAGGTTTGGGAGCTAGAGAGTGTACCAAAGTCATGGAATGAGTCGATAGTTGTCCCTATCTTTAAAAAGGGTTCACGTCGTTCCTGTAACAACTATCGGGGGATAAGTCTACTTCCGATTGCGTCCAAGCTGTTGACTTCCGTCATACTTTGTAGGTTGTTCAAAACCCGAGAAAGATTGACTCGCGAGGAGCAGGCTGGGTTTCGTTCTGGTCGAGGATGTATTGATCATATCTTCAATCTCCGCCAAATGTTAGAACACCGCCATACTTATCAAAGGCCAACAATCGTAGTGTTTCTTGACATCAGGGCTGCCTTCGATTTGTTGGACAGAACTGTTCTCTGGGATTGTCTATTGAAGAAGGGTGTGTCTGAGAAGTTTATTTACATCCTAAAAGCCCTATATAAAAACACCTCAGGCAGAGTGAGGGCATACAACCACCTCTCTCCATTGTTCCATTCGAGCAGTGGGGTTAGACAGGGTTGCCCAATCTCACCATTCCTCTTCAACTTTGCCATCGATGACATTCTGGGAACAGCTCTGGTGAATGTAAGTAATGGTGGTGTGGATCTGTTGCCTGGAGAAAGACTTACCGACCCTGAGTATGCAGACGATATTGTCTTACTATGCGATAATGCCCAAGGCATGCAATCCGCACTTAATCAGTTGGCAATCAGTGTCCATAGGTATGGTATGTGCTTTGCACCCTCGAAGTGCAAAGTACTTCTACAAGACTGGCAGGATTCCAATCCTGTACTCACCCTGGATGGTGAACAGATAGACGTAGTCGAGAAGTTCGTGTATCTGGGTAGTTGCACAAGTGCTGGTGGGGGTGTGAGTGATGAGATCAATGCACGAATAGTGAAAGCCAGAGCGGCTTATGCCAATCTGGGCCACTTTCGGCGCCTTCGTGATGTTAGTCTGGCTGTAAAAGGTCGGATCTACAACGCGTCGGTGAGAGCAGTTTTGCTCTATGCTTGTGAAACCTGGTCTCTCCGAGTTGAGGACGTTAGACGACTCTCTGTGTTCGATCATCGCTGTCTCCGAAGGATTGCTGACATTCAGTGGCAACACCATGTCAGTAATGCAGAGGTCCGGCATCGTGTGTTCGGTCACAGAGACGATAATGCAATTGGTGTCACCATCTTGAAACACCGACTTCGGTGGCTTGGATATGTTCTACGAATGTCGTCCCAGAGAATCCCACGTCGTGTATTATTTGCCGACTCTGGGACTGGTTGGAAGAAGCGGAGAGGTGGTCAGTGTATGACATGGTGTCGTGGTATGAAAGAAAGCTGCAGAGGGCTGGCTCGTGTTGGTCCTTCACGACTCCGTGTCTGAGGTCCGAGAGTTGGTGCAACACAGTGACTAGAGACGTATCAGATATGGCTCAGAATAGAAGCCAGTGGTGATCCTGTCGTAACCTTCTTTTACTTTCTTCGTGAGAAGTGGTTGTGTCTCCTTTAACTAAAAGATTTCTTCTGATTGTACCTTTCCGTTCCCCCATTATTACTATTATTATTATTACACTACCCCACACCAACCTCTTCGTTATTGTTCTCTTCTTTTTACACTCCTTACTTTTTTTCCTTCTCTTTAACTTCTCATTGTTTTGTGTGGCGCATATATATTGGCGCTCTCTTGTATCAATATTTATGTGTTCAAATAAAATAAATAATAAATAAATGCCATCAACGACAACCCAAACAATGCAACTTTTGACTGAGATGTTCTCCCGCAACGGATTACCGGATATAATCATATCCGACAGCGGTTCGCATTTCACCTCAAATCAATTTCAAGAATTTTGAAAATGCCTATCGATCAAGCATTTCCGCTCTCCACCTTACGATCCACAGTCAAATGGCCAGGCAGAAAGATTTGTGGATACATCTAGTAGAGCTCTAATGAAGTCGAAAGGGGAGGGGATGCCAGTAGAAATACTGCAGAATTTCTTGTTTCTTTACCGAACAACACCTAGTGATATGCTACCACAGCAGAATTCCCCAGTAGAGGTCCTGATGGGAAGGAAATTGGGGACAATCCATAGTCTCATGTGCCCAAGAAACACACCACCACCATCTCAGAAGCTTCCAGCGTACGAGATCAGATGCCCGGTGTTCGCTCGAGACTACAGAGCAAATCATGGTCCTTGGATCGAAGCACGTGTGGTTGGAAAACTAGGCCAAGTTATGTACGAGGTAAAGGTGGGAAGAGACACGTGGACTAGACACCGAAATCAACTACGGAAGCGGAAAACCCCGGACCGCCCATCAAAAGGAGTAAATCTTCCCCTCGACATCTTGCTTGATACCTTCAACTTACCTGCAGCCCCACCACAAGAAGCTCAACGACAAGCTGATCCCCGTCCCAGAAGGTTGCCTCTCCGTCAGCGGCAAACTACAGTCAAGATGCAAGTCGACCCCAGAAAAGTACGCTATTAAAAAGGGGATGAGTGTTGGGGACGATATATCCCGAAAACTCATAGTTTGTAACTTCGTCTTTGTGGAGCTTGTATGCAGATGTATGTGTAGGCATTCCTTACCACCCACGCACATAGTTGATTGATAAACTTATCGATTAAATGTTTAAATATATCAATGGCAATCAATTGACGAGCTTATCGGTTAAATGTTTAAAAGTTCCAGGGCAATATCGATATATATTTGTATATATACGTTTTAAATTGTGTTTGGTGCTCGCTCGTTTTCTAGCTGTTTGCAGAATATATTTTCCATACCAAGCTTGGACTTCTCCTTCTAGATAGCGGGGCTGGAACGCGTCAATAGCTAGATTACTGGTCTTTGGTCACTGAGTCTTGTTCTCGTTCGCAGATTAAGTGAACTCGTGAAGCTTCAAACCTAACAAAATGGTTGACAGGTGTGTTTCATGATTGTTTCTATTCGCCAACCGATCCTATCATTATGGTTAACATAGTGAACTGATCTTGACTAAACAAATTACAAACAGTATTATTCGTCGTTTGTCCAGTAGACGGCTCCAAACAATGCTAGTCTTATTTTAAATCCACGTTTGTTTCGAATTGGGACAGTCTTATTTCATATTTTTACTCCTTTGAATAAAGTCAAAACAACAACTGATTCAGGATAGTATGAACATATAGTATTTTGTAGTTTCTCTTCAACCGCTTACAAGTAGATTAATATTAAACTGTAACATTGAAATATAATACAATATGAGGTAAGGGACGTTGGGAATGAGAAGAACCGGAACAACGATATATATAGAATTTTAGAAAGTGAGGGGAATGAGGAAGTAATTTTTCGTTATATCTTTGCTATGGTTGCTCTAAGGTGTCCAAAATATCCTATATTTTGTAAGCCTATTCACTGAATATGACTCATTTGTGTGTGTATAATTAGATAAATTAAGTATCATTCCTAAAGGAATTTATTCAACGAAATTAGGCAAAACTAAGAACAATGGGTCGCCCTTACGAGCACCAGTTGGGGTTACCATTTAGGATGTTAGTTAATTAGAAACTCTGATTCGAACATAAGTTTCCAAAAAATGAAGCGTCGGAAACTTATCCTACTTTCTCAGTGCACATTTCCGTGGAATATGTTGCGACACAACCTCTCTATCAACGGAATCGAATGCTGGTTTAAGGTCAAGTAATATGGTTATCATCGAGCATCGATTTCCGCATGTTTTAAAGCTTACCAGAATGTAATAACTTGATCAATAAACTCAAAATCAGGTCTACGATCTCATATTCGCTATTTATAATCTCTGTTCATACGTTCAGCGACTACGAAGGTTGATATTTTGGGTATTGTATTGGTCAAACTAATTCGTTTGTGAGGATTACAAAAAGATTCCTACATATTTTACGATCAAAAATTGAGACCAGTTAGGCTAGATAATGTCCAGCTTCCAAACTTAATTTTTAGTCAAATGAACTACTAAAACTATGTCGCCATCTTCGGGGTTAATTCATCAGATCATTTAGCTCACCCACGCTTGAGATTAAATATGGTGTTTCTAAATTTTTATCGATTTCCCATTCCGATTGTTTGGAAATATTGGGTAACACGAGAGTAGCTGGAGAGAGATTTAACTATTTCTGCAAGTGTTCTATCCGTTCTGGCTTTAATGAATTGTGAGTGAATCACTGTCTCGTCTTTTTCTAAAATAATCTAATTAATAGCTAACTGTTTAATACCTTTTACATTTGCGAGCAAGATTTTTTTTAAGGGTTACCTAATACATCTGCTTTTCAAATCTCATCACGTACAACGGCATTCAATAGCTGGAGATTTTTTATCACTCAACGTTTTAATGTTCAACATCTGACGGTGGTCGAGATTACAAGATGTTTCTCAGATAACAGAGGATTTGGTAACCTTCAACGCGTTACTCCGTTGAAAATAGTATATTACATTACAGATGACTTAGATCAACTTTAGTGAACATAATGTGTGACTTGTTGGAGTTTATGAGTTGTTAACAATAATATCCTGTAACGTAGCTCTCCGTTACTGACAAGGCGTAGAATGCACTCGACACAACACCCTATACTGCTGTCGCGAAGTAAAAGCAAATGGAACATAAACTGACAGAATACATTATTTTTCACAAATACTGCCCGTAACGACAACGTATACACTTATACTGCTTGAACAGTAATAAGTAATATACCACGAAATAGAAAACAAAGAGAAATATAGAGTTTTAAAAAGAGGCGAAACAAGACCTAAGAATTACAAAGACGAAAAGTACATTAAAACATTCCAGACTCTGATAAAGATTCTAAAACTGACTCAGCAGTATTCAAACTTAATTCATAGTTAAAACCATCATCATAAGGTTTATGATAGGAAGGTAATAGAATACGATTAAAAAACCTTTTACAAAGTACAAAATATAAACGAAATGATTTTTTCTTGACATGATAATTAGCCATTTCATGCTTATCAATAAGGCATAGAAATTTTATCCAATTTAAAAATATACCAAAATCATGCGGATTACGATAAATCACTCCACGTTGTTTTAATATTTTAGTGAATTTTGCATTAATATGTCGTTCAATACTTGTCTCACCACTACTAATTAAATATGTATGCCAAGTGCATAGAGCAATTACTAAAGGAACTGCAATTACACTGAAAATGAAACATCCTTTGAACAATGGAATGAAGAATTTATTCGATGGTAAATATGTGTTATAGTTGAACCAAATCGATGAATACTTTACAGTGGTATTGATCTAAAAATTAAAAATAAACATCTGAATGTAATACAACACATTTCTGATAAACGGCTAGAATATTATTATTATTCTACAGCAATTTAATGAGTTGTGATTTTTTATGAAAACCAAGTTGGAAGTGTAAAGGACTATCCACAAATATAATAAGATGATGACCACATAGAACATAAATTATTGAATCCCGACAAACTGCTTAAATAGTAAACTTTTTGTTAACAAGTACAAAAGTTATAGGTCTAATGGTACATCAATCCGTGGATATATAGTGATGATATAGAATATAGTGTAACCCAGCATCAAAATACCAAGGGCTTATATTGAATAACTTTCAGAAATTCAGTGTAACAATCATCAATGTTTATCGTATCCAATTAAAATATACGTAATCAGGAAACTATAGCTTATGTTTTTAAAATTTAATCTTAACTCTATCGGCACTATTAAATGTAAACTGGTAGGAAAAGATCTCAATAAATATGAGTTGTTGAACCAAGTACAATTGAGGGAGTATAACCAAATAGATATAGAAAACATAAGATCTGGGACAGACCTATATCGGCTCAAGTTATCACACTGATACTTAAATTGTTATAATTCTCTCTTACGGTTATAACCCAGCTATTCCTATTGCTTAGTATTTTTGGATACCGATTCACTCGACAAGTCGCCAAATCAGAACACGATTGAACAGGAAAGAGATTATATTCCAAATAACAAGGTTAGATGGAAGTAGGAAGCACAATAGGGAAAACGTTAGTATATTTATAGTTTTTCACATGAAATTTCTAGTGTTCACTAAGTACTGACTAACGCTGATTGGCTAATTATTATCCAATCAGCGTGCACCAAAGCAATCGTGCTTGAGCATGCTTTAATCCAGTCTATGTCCCGCTAACATAAATCCAGGACCTTTCGCCTTAAACATTGATGTATTATTCACTAATCTACTGGGGTCAAATAATTATTCAGTAGGAAGACATTATTGGTAACAGTTTGAATTTTTCTGTAACTGGATATCAGCAGATGCTAAATAAAAACCCTTAGTAATAGGAGATCTAACTTGAATAAAAATGAATAAAGTCGTAAGATGAAAGTTTCGGAATAATTCCATTAAGAAAAAATGGAAGTATGAGCAATTCCTTTACTTACTTTTAATAATGATATTTAAAGTTTCCAATGGCGAGACTATAATTTATGGACGAGCCGATCAGAAGCGTTTGAAGGGATTCAAGGTCACGGCACCAATTTTAGTACCTGATGCTCAAATACGGTCGGTTCATAGCGGATTTTAGAGAAAGCGTGATAATTGAGAGCCTACAACAAATGGGACTACTAAGAAATTCCTTTGTTCGTGATTGTGGTAATCAAATGACTTGTGAGGCCTACCGCGATGATGTTGTCTTTCGATGTAATGTGTTGGAGGAAGAAGTCTGTTAGAATAGGATTTTTTCGCTCGATCCAGATTTAAACTAAGGTAAATTATGACAATTGTCGCGAACTGGATAATAAAAGCACCAGTAACACTGGCTGAAGCCAGGTACTACAATATATACGGAGGATTGGAGAGCGCACAGATGTCTTTATAGACTTCGTTATGTGCATCGTTTTGTATAGTATATTTTACTCTATACTAACTTTTCTGATTGGTTAATATTTTTCAAGGTTACTTAAAACTCGTTCAAAGGTCGTCCATAAATTATAGTCTCGGCGATTTTTCTAATTGACCCCGTATTTTTATCAAGTCATCGCAAGCCTTTTCCCAAGTAACTCAGAGTAGACAGTAGCTCAAAATACGTGACATATCCACCCAGCACAGTTGACAAGTAATTACTATTTCCTCAGTTGAGTGAGCACCTTGAACCAGTATTATGTGCCTAACGAAATTGTTGTCTATTCTGTCGTTTTACTGTACGAACAACAGGTACACACCTTCTCAAATACAGGCTCAACCAAAAGCCAATCACATCACAAAGGGTTTGTGGAGATTGCTGAATACTAACGTTTAAATTTTGGATTGATTTTATTGAGACAAATATTAAAAACCATTTGATCTTTTACGACCAACTAATTATTATAATATACATCCCACCATCCAATTTTGACAATGTACTAGAAGAATTTTCAAATAAATACTTTTTCCACTTCATACTAGTCACACTTACTTGATTTTCATTAATTTCCACTAAGTAGCTTCGAAAGTCTGACCAACCAACAGTTAGCAAATATATCCCACCAATACTCATAAATATCAATACTAAATAAAAATGGCGATGTGTATACAAACCAATACAATTAGCTGTCCATGGACAATGATGATCCATACATAATATACATGTTTTACATATAGCGCAATGATGTGCTCTTATTGGACGTGATACAAAACATCGTGAACACATAGTACTAGTAGTATTATATGGAATTCGTGGTACATTGCCGGGATTAATGAAAACAGCAGATAAATAATGAAAATAAATATTGACGATGATTAGATGACTTAATGTAAAATGTAACGAAAACCATGTACCCTCAGTACGTAAACTACACTTGATCGAATTATATCCACTATATAAATAACATGAATTCAAAATGAAAAGACGACGTGGTATCAAAACTGTATACAATAAACATAGAATCAAGCATAAATAAGTTAATACTAATGCGACTAGTGTTCGGCCGAAATTTTTCCGACCACCAAGATATAACGAGAAACAATTTAAAATTGGTCCTAATATAAAAATTGTGTAAATGGTTGATATAAAATATAAAAACCAATCAATACATTGATAAATAGATTGGGGTGATGATAAATTTCTGCTTAGGTTAATCATCATTATCTCTGGCATGTATAAACGAATTAAACATTTTAAAATGTAAATGTGGTCAGAGAAAAATGTAGTTTTCATTATTCCAGAAAGAAAGTGCACAAATAGAGCTGAAAAATCGAGAGAAAACAAAGAGATAAGTAAGTTAGGGTTTTCGCAAGAAATTATCGGACAATTTACCATTTTTATAGTGACTATTGGTTTGTTTAAACGGAAAAATATGAGTGCAAGGGTCAGTCAGTCAGCTACAACGTAGGACCAGGCACATATGTGCATCGGTCCAGGTTGCCATACCTCATTAGCACAACAAGATGAACACCGGATTCATAGGAGTGGTTAGGTCAAAGGTTGCAATAAGGATATAGTATAGGAAGGAAGAATTAGTTCGTAAAAAGAAAGATATGAAGTGATTTTAATCTCTTAGTTTAAGGGAAGACAAAGAGTGTATACACCGACGCCATTGTGATCGATTCTGAGCCATGTCACCAAGAGTCTCCAACCATTGGTTACGATAGTCACGCGGACCCCAACCAAGTAGTCTGCATCTACCAACATGGCTCAGACTAGAAGTTAGTGACTTCAAGCACTGATGCCACGTTTTGGTTTGGCCGCCCCTAACTTTCTTCCAACCAACCCCTACACCGGTTAGCATTGCACGTCGTGGTAATCAGTGTTCAGGCATACGTAATACGTGGCCCAACCATCTCAGTCGATGAAGATTCATAACCTCATCAACTGATTTACCATCATTCCCTAATACCCTGCGTCTAACCTCACTATTACTTACCCGGTGATCCCAGCAGATGCCAGCAATATTTCTAAGGCATCTGTGGTCAAATACTAGTAGCTTACGGGTGTCTTCTACTCTTAAAGGCCATGTTTCGCTGCCGTAAAGTAAGACAGAACGGACTGCCGCGCAGTATACTCGTCCTTTTATTGATAGACGGATATCTCGCCTCCGCCAAAGGTGACGTAAGTTGGCAAAAGCCAAACGAGCTTTTCGAATCCGTGCTGAGATTTCGTCAGACACCAACCCATTAGGGCTGATCAGACTTCCAAGATAAGTGAAGTTGTCGACGCGTTCGACTACTTCACTCCCTATCCTTAGTTCAGGTGTTGAGTGCAAGGGGGAACCAAATATATATGCACCACACTATCATCCGATTTGTGTGAGGGTTAGGATACTGCCCGGGTGCCCAAATCGAAGCAGGTGGTTTTCTTAGGCCACTCCTTGAGCCTTTCACCTAGAGGTTCAATCCGCAAGGCACTAGAACGACGTTAGGAGATGCAGTCTTATGGTAGCCGATCACCAACAATAGGTTCAAACACCATTTGTTCCCTCAGGATCCTGGGGCCTATGTGCACTACTGGTTTGGAATCAAGGTTTTCCATCTCCTCTTGGTGGATCCTCCATGTCCACTAACCTGGTTAAAGCACTTGAGATCCGCTTTTCGACCTTTTAATTTCGTAAACAACACTCTCACCGCGAGAAGTAGTGAGTAGAATTTCCCTGGCAGTGGCTGTATACACGTGGTCATGTGAGAGCATTTAGAGAGGGAGAAAACTACCCAGCATCGGCCGTACCAGGGCACTTGGGGATTATATTCTAACCATGGAATTTTATTGTCAAAGTTCAACGGTCATAAAAGTTCGAGTTTACCCGTTTTTTTATAAGCAAATAAATACTAGGACTTATAGTTGCCAGTACCGATTGCTTTACGTCGTCACTAACAGACCACGAATTGGAGTACATGTAGATGACCAGAGTTCATTCGAGTGGGTAGGGAATGGTGCAACCCCCAAGCTTACATAGAATTTATACCTCACGGTTAGTAACCTAATACAGATTACTCTTTTGTAATACCCAAGACCTACGGCTATATTGATGTCTGTATAGAACAAACATGACCATACTAAGGAAATGTATTATGGAAAAGTAGAGAAACGTATATTAGAGACACGGTTGCATAAGCTAGTCTATGGTGTGTACCTAAGTCGTTTGCGCTAGTTACCCTTGACCTTGACAATATTCGACACTCCAATGCTTAGTGAATTGTCGTATAATGTAGAAAATATTTAGCTTCACAGCTGACTTGGCTATGGCTAAGTGGGATTTTACCGGCCTTAACAATTATTATACTTTATAACTTAGAGCCCCTCACTAAAATTTTCATACATATATACTTTATTGTAATGACCTATTAGCAGTTGAATTACTGACTGTTTGAACAAAGAAGCTTCATTCATCTAAAAAAGATAAACCAGTAATGGACTTATCAAAGTAAACAATTGTTGTAACAAAACAGAATGGCAACAATTGTCGGATGAAAATAAACTAAAGATTTTGCATATACTGACCTAGAACTGTGTATCCAATAAATTATACTGGCCAAACTATAAAAATGTGTGAACACCTAAGGAGTACGTAAAAACCGTAATAAAATACATTTTCCTGTTTATTAACCAATACTTGACTGATATATATGCAGTAACTGTTTAGCTTGAGTCTAAGCTGATAAATGTTTGCCTTTTACACAAAATTATCAACCTTCCACACTGATTTACCTACGATATACCTACTAATTATTTCATAGCTATAATCGGCAAGAACAACTACCTGAAGAAATTTATAGCTAAATATTTGTTTATTACAAGTGATCTCTGCTACCAAAGGTCAGGAGTAAACAAAAAGAGGAAACATGTGAACAGTACTCGATGTTTAGTTAGTAAACAGATATCTTTGCTGCGCTACAGGTATAGAAAGTTCCCCAAAACGGTTGTAGGACGTTAACATTTTTATGACTATTCGTAAACATCCATTTGCAACCATTTTACGGATATATTCGAGGCTTTGTTGGCAAGAAATATTTGATTTTTATCGTAGTGAAGAATAGTTTATGAAGAAAAAGCAGCCCAAAAACTATTCGACATTTGAGGTTAATCTCGAACGTCCCAATAAATTTAACTAGCCGAACGCGAACGGTAAAGTCGATGACATATACCCTCATGTTAATCGACACTACCATCGATTACTAAAAGCAGGTAAAACTACCGGATAAGTAACAACTGTCTTAAAAGCCGGTGACTGAGTCCACTTTGAACACCATTAAACAAACATTTAACAACGAAAGCTACCAAAAATGGAAACTAGACGTAAACACGGGGAAAGTAAAAGGGAAACGCGCTATAAAGTCCTTTTTTCGTCTGCATGGAGAAATAGTGCGACAATTTCCCTTACTGTCACTGGATTGTCTACATCTTCCCGGACGTATGTCGCCAAATCACTCAATCCAACTACCACAATTAAGTACTTAATTATTAACCACGTTGCTTTTTATCGCGAGGTTTATCACTCAAAGCAAAAAGACACAAACTCAAACGACCCAATATAATGTTAAAGCTATTATGTTGCAAATTACTAGTACTCCCAAGAGATAAAATTTCATTGAACATCAGGTTTTGGTATAAAAATCAACTCACTTCAGAGAATTGCTACGAACTTGAATAGAATTCCGTAAACACTCCACACGACTGAAATCATTATAACTATTTACATTATAATACTATGTATGTAAATATGTACATAGTTCTTTGACTCACCGCCGACACTATAATTTATGGACGAACTAATCAGAAGAGTTTTAGGAATTTCAAGGTCATGGCGCTAAGTTCAATAAGTGAAGCTCACATATGGTTGTTTTACAGCATATTTTAGAGAAGACGTGATTGTTGAGCGACTACAACAGACAGAACTATTAAGAAGTTCCTGTATCTGTGGTTGCGGCAATCAAATGACTGCAGTACGATGTGTAGACTATCGTGACGAGATTGTGTTTCGTTGTTCGGAGGCCTCAGGCGGCCTGCTTGACTATCTGTGCTACCTGTTCCTCCGATCTAGATATTTCATCAAGTTATCTGTTTTGTTGTGTTTTAGCATATCATTATGTCTATCGTGCGCACAGTTTATTCAGGCGCGTTTATGAAAAGTTTACAACCTTTCGCTGTACGTGATACAAGAAGGTACAGTCAGCGACATCATGGTGGTTGGCAATATGCATTGAAACGAATGAACATTAATCAAATGTGGATTACCGAACTCCTAACATCTAACCGGTCATCATTCAAAATTTATCGTCACAATAGATCAAGGTATAAGAAAAGGAAACTTATTGAAATACTTTATGCTGAGAATTCTATGTTGTACCAAAAATATAATGTTGAATAAAGCTTCTTATAATAATAATAATATATGTTGGAGAAAAAAATGCTTGGACTGGCAATTTCTTCGCTCGATCACGACTCACGCTGAGGCAAATCATGATAGTTGTTGCAAACTGGATTATAAAGTCACCAGTAACATTGGCTGCGTTTTTTGCAGATGTTACAGTACGTGCAGCCTGGCAGTACTATATATACCGATGATTGGAAAGCGTATAGATGTCTCCATAGACTTGGGTTTGTGCACCTTGGCCCTAAATCCTAACCCTATGCACTATGATTTCAAGATATCTGAACCTTTATCTAACCTTAACCAGTTTTTAATTGATGTAAATGAAGAATATCCGCTGCAATTTATTGGTTTTTATATTATATATTTTTACTTTATGCAAACTCTTCTCTGATTGGCTAGTAGTCTCAGGGTTACTTAAAGGTTCGTTCAAGGTCGTCCATAAAATATAGTCTCGCCGACTCACCCAAGCAACCAAGAAAGGGGAAATAAAGCAGACGACAGCGTAAATAAAGATGAAATATCGCTTTCTCGCCTTTACGTCGGTTATTCGCGCCCTTACGTCGTGTATTTGGTGGGAATTTGTTGATAATTATACTTAACGTACAGTGTTTGAATATACCGCAACCCAAACTTACGTTCTCATAAACAAATTAAGGTACAGCTTAATAAATAAAAAAACTATTGTCATAAAAACAAGGTACAAAATACGGAACCAGGCATTCGGTTGATACGCATATACACTGGCTTCGTTTTTTGTTTAGCTAAAGTGTTCCGACATGCTAGGGAGCCATCACAAATAACTTACGTGATGCAGGTGAGTGACGTGCTCTCAGATGTTCATGTTCATTAT